CTTCAATCTTGGGGATTGACAAGGTGAAAACACAACAAGGCATCCACCTTAAAATTCAACTCAACGGGTAGTGGGTTGAGATGGTCACCGCATTCATTCCGCATCTACATGAATATTGTTTTGATATGTTTTGATAATTATGAGTTTTAAACAACTTAAAAAATGAAATGATATACCCAAGGTGAATCAGTGAACCACGACTAGAACAGTGCATTGTCTCCTGACGTGTTTCCTCCAGCCACGGATAGATAGCCGCCAGCCTGTCACGCACAGCGCCAGGTTCACGAGAAGTCCAGCCAATTGGAAGACCTTGGCGAGGCGCAGCGGAATGAAAAAAGATTATCACCAGACCAGTATATCAGCAGTTACACTTGGAAAAACCATATTTATGACTTATATGATTGAGCCCCAAGCCGGACAAATGCTCACCAGTAGATGGGTGACAGTAGATGCCTTTTGGGATGTTTCTTGCTTTGCATGCATCCGTGAACTTTTTCCACCAATAGATCTGATTGGCACAATCCTCAGCAACCAATGCGTATGCTCAAATAGTTTGATTGACATAAAATGAAAATGTTGTGACAGCCAGCTCCAGCTCCAAATGAGATAGGGACGCCGGCCCCTCGCTTTGACAAAAAGTTCGGATTTGCTTGGACCGTGGATCCAAACAGCCCTGAGCCGAGGCCGGTGAACAGATTTGTTTTTTTAGTTGCGGGGAACCTGAGTTCATGGCTGATTGTTCCAAACGACTTCAGAACCATGGGTTTGGTAACCAACTTTCCTTTTGCTGGCAGCTTGCTGTGTGCTGCAGGTTTCCGTGGTGGAACCTCGGATGTTGATGTGAACATGGTGGATAAAAAGTCAATTTCCAGTTCCAATGCAGTTGTTTTCCAAGTTCATGATGCAATGCAGCCAAAGAACAACTTGAATCTCATGAGGAACCCATTCCATTTGTGGCAGGAACCACGGTTTATGCAACCGAATGGACCCACCTTTCCAACAGTCCCCACATGCTGGGAGTCGCTTACCAACCTGCCATCTGAACAGATCACATTTACTCCCATCGCGAACGCCTTGTTCAAGACATGGCGGCCCCACTGCCGAGGCCAATGGTTGCAACCTATGCGCGGACAGCAAGCAAAGCAGCAGGAAGGGGGGCTGTGGAGATTGAGACTCTGACCCTGGTTCTTGAGGTGCCACATCAATGTCACAACTTGGAGACAATGTTGTTGACAAACAATCATGCTGATTCAACTCGACATATTTGATTTGAATTCTCTGGTTTACTGGGTATCCAACTCACTCAGTTCGTCCACATCGTCCAAAGGCATGGCGGCCAAGCAGGTCGAGAAAGCAAGGTTTTGAAAACACATATTTGATTTGGTATTATTTGATCATATTTGTTTTGGTACCCACATCCAAAATTGTGGAAACGGTATCTTGAAGTCGTCTTGAAGTTCACCACAAGCACCATGACGTGACAACCAAGTGCATGGAAAACTGTGAATATGCAAACACCCGAGACAAATGGCTGGATGAACGTGTTGAACAGCTGCTCAAGTGCACAAAGTAAGAATGTTGAACACAGTTGAACACAACTGAGTTCCAAGTTGGTTTCAACTGGGTCCTTTTTTTCACCCCTGGTTGCAATGCAACGCATCATATGCCATGGCCATGGATCTGTTATCAATCACAGGCCTCTATTGAAACCCAACAACCACAATTTATTAAACAATTATTGGATGTCCTCCAGAAAAGTGAGGTCCAAACCTTCAAAGTCAGACTGACTGCCAAGCTGTTTCTGGGCTTCCCCGATCACATCGGACACGGCAACCAAAGTGTCCGCTGTCAGCTTCTCTTTCGCCAGGAATTTCGAGACCTGAGCCGCTGAGCAGAGATGCTGAGGGTTGTCAAAGATTGGGCATCGAGGTTTTAGTTTCATTCATGTTACTTCATGAATGTTTTTACAATGAGGCCGAATGAGGCTGATATTATTGGGGATCGAGTCATCACAATATTGATATGATTGGGGATCGAGTCATCACGATAATACTGCGGATACTGATAGTATTGGGGATCGAGTCATCACGATACTGATAGTATTGGGGATCGAGTCATCACGATACTATTGGGGATCGAGTCATCACGATACTGATATAGTATTGGGGATCGAGTCATCACGATACATATCAGAAGTATCTAGGTGATGAGATGAGATCCCGAACATGGTGCAGGACAGTGGCAATGAAGGCCGCCCTTTTGACATCCCTTTCCTTAATAGCTGACAAAACATCTTATGCGCAAGTTCCGTCGAACAGCTGAAGTTGAGGTGGCGGCGGCTGCAGGGATGATCTCACCCACTTCAAGGATCTGCCAGTAGCCATCAATGATTTTTAGGTCTGTTTGATGTTTATCTAGACTACAATGACTGGACTACAAATCATCCATATTGATTCCCTAATACAAGCCAGCGGCACCTCTTCATCAGTATGTTCTTGATCTGGATCGAGCGGTCGTAGAGGTCGAGGAACAGCCTTGTGCAAAGGTCATGGTCATGGTATCTGCTTAATTGGGGTATTATGGGGCATTAATAGCTGAGGTATGAACACGAATCCTTTCTAATGGGTTGATCTCCTTCATGACCCTCGTAGACCTGAAAATGATGGTGGAAAAATTCTATCAGAAATCCTCGCTGCATGCCAAAAAGTAAGGCCAGAACTCAGGTGACCATTCGAACGCGTTCTTAGTTCCATTGATTACGGAAGTTGCATGGTTTCCAAAGACGATTCCAAATGACTTCAAAACACATTTCCGAAGCTAAGCCCAAGTCCAACCGACGAAGGGGCACTGGTGGGGAGCGAGACCGGGTCACTAGTGTGGAGGCCTCACAGAACGTTTAACATCCCATCACCAAGCACATCTCTCTACAACATATCTAGAATATATATTAAATGATAGTGTTTTGAAATTGGATGTATAAATATATATATATATATATATATATTTGTATTGCATGAATTATGTATTTAAAGTCATATATATATATATATATATATATATATGTTCTACAGGTGCCCTCATACCATTCTCAGCATTCCGAAGAATTGATCACTGGACTGTGCATATCACATACTTGCTACATTAAGGATACCTAAATCAATCCGGCCTTTCGGTTCGGCATCGTGACCCAATGAAGTCTCCTTGGGAGGGAATCACCACCCCAAAAAAAAACGAATCATGACCACCAGTTCATGGGTTTCCGGACCCAAAAACGCAGCTCAGCACCCTGGTCGCATCACTCGCTTGATTTGAGGAGAAAAAAACCATGCGCCACAGTTTGTCCCACCTCCGCTTCTGAACGAAGGTGACCACAAACACGGCCAAATGGCTGAAGTTGGGCCGGACGGCCAGGCTCTTCTTGATATTTGTTATTACAAGTCATTATGGGAAATCAGTTTGGTAGTTACTATAGGGGGAAACATGAAATCATCATGGTCTATGCCGGGTTTCTCCAACCCATGGGTTCGCTACATGGACAAACTTGATTTCTGATATGCACCCACGGTGTACTTTATGCATATATATATATATACATATACATCTTGATGCACACTTGAATAAATACATGAAAACTTAAAAGAACCAACGAATAAATGTGTACATATGTTCATGTAAATAAACATGTTTTTAAGGGTGTGTGCATGATTTGGCTGCTATGATCATACAAAACAAGATACATGAACCATAAACATAACCGAATTAGATGTTTCAAAAGGGTTTTGGATCCGGGATTAATACTGCTGTGTGCTGTGCGGAAGCACATCTGTTAGGCAGGACCCTTGGTTACTTTGGCGGGTTTGAAAATAATTCCTGGGGTGTCCCAGCAATATTGTTTGAATTCCTTTGGTACCACTCATACTTAATCATGGATCGTATGTGGTTAAAGCAAACAATCGAAGATAGGATTGTTGGTCTTCCCATATATTCCCCATTTAACGGATGATACTTACTTCCAACAGAGGGTTGCAACATGACATCCTTGGTGATCTCTGGCTAAGGGGCTGGTGGAAATAATATGATCAATGCCCTATAATGCAATCTTTACCTTATGTATTAGTGGCACCACCTATGATGAATAATAATAGTAGATAAGCCCAATTGTCAAATGTAATTTTATCATTATTTGTTACGGGGGCGGGGGGGTGTTCAAAAATCGTTTGCTACTGCTAGTAAAGTGCTGCTGGCAAAAACTGCTAGCAACGTGCTGCTTGCAAAAACTGCTAGCACATGGTCGCTGGCAAAAACTGCTAGCAAGTGTACGTACACATCATGCTAGCACATTAATCAGCATTGGCCTTAGAGCAACATGCCGGTTTGCATGCACTGCTGGCAGCAGCTAGGGCTCCATGTACAGCCAATTTTACAAGACCCCAGTTGTCCAGCAAAGTCTGGAACAACAGGATCATCAAATAAGAGTAGATCCCAGAACGTAGCATGACATATGTGTGCAAGTGCAAGAGTAGATCCCAGAACGTAGCATGACATATGTGTGCAAGTGCAAGAGTAGATCCCAGAGCGTAGCATGACGTATGTGTCCAAGTGCAAGAGTAGATCCCAGAGCGTAGCATGACGTATGTGTCCAAGTGCAAGAGAAGACCCCAGAGCGTAGCATGACATATGTGTGCAAGTGCAGGAGTAGATCCCAGAGCGTAGCATGACATATGTGTGCAAGTGCAAGAGTAGATCCCAGAGCGTAGCATGACATATGTGTGCAAGTGCAAGAGTAGATCCCAGAGCGTAGCATGACATATGTGTGCAAGTGCAAGAGTAGATCCCCGAGCGTAGCATGACGTATGTGTCCAAGTGCAAGAGTAGATCCCAGAGCGTAGCATGACGTATGTGGAATCATGACACAGAGTGTCGAAATGACAATGGAGTAGACTGGTGAGGGTGCCCCTTTGTATGCCATTTTGGCTCAAGGGGGCACTTTTGATTAGGGGATGTCTACCCGTGCAGGTGGGGGCGAGGGTGTTCCGCACGAGGGGGACATCTTGCTGGCCATTTTGCTTTCCCTGGCATTCTGTCTGGGAGCAGTGGCCGGCGCTGTCATCTGCAACTGGGTGGGCAAGCTCCGAGGAAAAGGTGCTCTCAGGACAGTGGTGGGAGACAACCGGTGGGTCAGACTGACTGGCCGGGCACTTCGCTTTCTGCGCCGTCGCAGAGCGATTGCTTTGGCTTTCAACCACCTGGGCTCCTACAGCTTGAGGCCCTCAGAGGGCAGTAGACCCAACAGCCTTCGTCAGAGGAGGGCAAACACACCTACACCAAAAGCGGCACAAAGCCATCTTAGAAGGAGGACCCCGGAGGTGGACAACATCTTGCACGAGGGTCCGGCTATTCGAAATGGATCCAACAGAAGATGAGCTGCAAAGCATACAGGACATCGATGGATGCCTGGCATGGGCAGGAGTCGACGGAGGCCTGCGAGATGCCTTGCTGGCGGCGCTCGGGGATCCCCAGCGGTTGCGGGAGATAGCCTTGATTCCCCGCCCAGCGTGGGACTTGGCAGTCTCTGGCCTGCTGGTGGGACCTGGGCCGCCCATGGCAGCGGTGGCACCCACGTTGGTGGAGTACGCCAGGGTGGAAGCAGTAAGGCGGGTTAGCCTTCTCAGAATGGGCAAGTACCCGGACAGCCCAGGCGATACGGGCGTGCTTCCACCGGTGGTGCCTGGAGCCCCCCTTCCCCCAGTGGCAAAGGACCAACTCTCAGCGCTATCTCAGGTGATAGCAGCGGGAGCTACGCCATACGCCGACTTCTCTCTGTTCGGCCCTTTTGGGCAGAGGCTGTTACGCCGTCAGACATATATGGCATTCCAGTTGAACGCCGCGACAGGCGAATGGAGCCGCAAAGAGCAGCCCGGCCCAGCGGACTTCCACTCATGGTACAAAACGTGGAAGTGTTACCGCACAGCAATGCTGCTGCTGGAAGCCTGCGAGTCAGAGAGGCTTGATGCTTACTCTGAGTTCATCAGGAGCCAGGTGACCCAGTTCGGAGACGAGGCTTGGAGCTTCATCAGTCAGGCAGACTGCAGACTCCGGTCGGAACACATGGACCGTCTGAGGAGGCAGCTCAGGGCAGAACCCCAGTTTGGCTTCACGGAGGCCAGTCCTTGGGGAGCCTGTTACGCCCTGGCAATAAGGGATGCAAGCTTCTGGAACAGAGAGCTCTCCACTCCAGCAACGCTGTACCTGGCACGGCACAGAAGAAGGTGGGCGAGAAAGAGAGGAAGCTGACACAGCGAAGCCCTCCAATGGATCGCCACAGAAGAAGCAGAAAACAAGGGCCAACCGCCGGTACCAAGGGGAAGATCAGTCAAAGAAGGGAGAGGATGGACGCTTCTCTCACAACCGAAAAGGAATCGAGATCTGCAGGCTGTACAACGCAGACAAATGCGGGTCACAGAAGGCACAGGGGAAGTGCAAAGCCTCGAGGTCACACCAGTGCACGATCTGCCTGGGACCTCACCAGGCTTTGGCCTGCCCCAAGGCAAACTGACCTGCGGGGGAGCAGAGGCCTTCAGGGGACAAGGCCTCAGCTGAACCCAACAACGCTGACAGTCCCCGGGGTAGCAAGAGACCAGTGTCACCGGTGGCGCCGCCGACAGCGAAACAGAAGGCAGTCATCCTGCGAGGAAGGAGGATGCTGGCGATAAAGTCCAAGCCAAGAAAGCCTGAGGCAGGACCCAGCACACCTTCCAACTCGAGCCAAGAGCGGCCACCGTTGAAGAGGAGAAGAGTAGAGGAGACAACAGCAGCCCCCAGCTCATCGTCGAGGCCAAACCGTACCCTTGCGGAGCCACGAGAAAAGGTGGTCTGGATCAAGGACAGGCCCAGGGACTACGGCTATTGGCAGGCAACACAAGGAGACACAAAGGGCAGACCCAGGGCGTTGATCATCTTCGCAGGGAGGTCCAGATCAGGCGACCTTAGCCATCAGCTAGCAAGGCTGGGCTGGCTCGTCTGTTCTTTGGACACGCAATCCCCTGTGCCCACGGATATCTTGGATGACGCCATCTGGGACGACGTGTCTTCGAACATTAGGGACGGCTACTTCGACGCACTGTGGTTGGGAACGCCGTGTGGCACCTTCTCCCCACTGAGAGAGAAACCTCCAGGTCGGGATGAGATCAAAAGAGCACATCGAAGGCTTGCCCCAGGACCAGCTCTGCAGAGGCGGAGATAAAACAGCTCAAGACGGCCAACGTCTTAATAAAGAGGACTTACACGGCAGCGGCCTACCAGAACAGGGCAAAGAAACCCTGGGGGGTGGAAAACCCAAAACACCCCGACGACAAGCCACAATTGTGGCAAATGCCATTGATGCAAACATTGGCAAAACTGAGGAACGTGGAGGCAGTAGACTTTGATCAATGCCGAACCGGATTGGAAACGACCAAACCGACAAGGCTGCTGGTCAAAAGAATCAAGTTGGATTCTTTACAAGGTCTACGCTGCAACCACGTCAAGAAACAGTTTACAAGGCCAGACGGATCCACTTACACAGCGGCACATGAGAGCACAGTGCAACGGTGGGTAGACGGCCCGACGGGCAGACAAAGAGCCTCTAAAGCGCAGGGCGAGTACACTATCACGCTGTGCAAGATCATTGTTAAGGTTTTCCATGAGGCCAAGCAGGAGGCACTGGAGGCACTAGGAACAGAGTCGCCAGAGAAGGAGGAGGCCCCTGTAGGGCCTCGCTGAGCCTTCCCGCCGGTGCTACCTTCGTCTTCCTCCTTCCGACCCCTGACGGAGAGGGAGATCCAGAACGCGAAAGCGTTGGGAGGAATGAGAAACCCATCGATGGCGCTGCACAGGATGCCTCAGGCCAAGAACCCAGCCTGGCAAGTCAGGGAGCTACTCTACAAGGCGCAGGATCTTTGGAAAGAAATGAGGGAGACGGCCGCAGCCATCCTGAGCGGGAGTAAACCCAAGGACCTCGATGTTAGAGTGGTAGAGGCCGTAAGAAAAGCAGCCACGCAAATGCTTGGCGGCAGCACCGGGCCCCGGCAACGTGAGGCCAGAGCAGAGACGCCTATCAATGCAAACCTCATAGAAGCTTGGGGGCATGCGGCAGGCGACAGGGACTCGCCACTACTGGCAAAGTGGTTGGACGACGGTGCTCCGTTAGGCTTCACGGAAGACATTCCCACAACGGGAGTCTTCCCCGCAGTCCAGGGGCCATCAGCCTCGGCAGAAGCAATCAAGGGCATGACCAGGACCCTGGAAGACTGGCAAAACTACAAGTCTGCTTTGGAAGAAAGCGAAGACCTAAACCAGTTGATCCAAGACTACATGGACAGAGGATTCTGCCACAAGGTCTCCTCAATGGCAGAAGCCGAACAGGAACTAGGCCGAACGCCGGTGCTCAACAAGCTGGGAGTCGTGGTGAAGTATTCGCCCACGGGAAAGAAGAAGGCAAGAATAGTCTGGGACTTGAAAGAGAGCCAGGCAAACACCATCTGCAATCAGAAGGAGCGCATCATCCTGCCCCGGTTGTTGGACTTGGCAAGCCAGGCAGTGGCCGCCTACAGGGAGCAGAAGGATGTATGGCTGGCAGCGGTAGATATCCGGGACGCCTTCATGAACATCCCGGCGGGAAAAGACAAGTTCATGACGGTGGCAGCTTGGAAAGAAGAGCAAGGAGGACCCGACGGCATCCTCATCTTCGACACGTTGGTCTTTGGCTCCGCATCATCACCAACGATCTGGGCGCGTTTCGCTGCCTGGTTGGGCAGGTCAACATCTGCCATCTCCCCGTCCACAGGATTGCAAATATACGTGGACGATCCGGGGATGTGCCTCCCAGGAAAGCTGGAAGAGGCAGTGAGGGAGCTCACCAGCGTCCTCTTGTGGTTCGCAATATCGGGCTTCCCTGTGAAGCTGGAGAAAGCAGAAGGTGGCAAATCAATCAACTGGGTGGGAGCCACAATCACCGCAGTTGACAAGGACGAGGAGGTGGTGGTGACCATACCAAAAGAAAAGGTAGAGAAGCTACAGGCCACGACGCTCAACTTCTTGAAGAGACCCGTAGTGGGCCACAGGCAACTGCGATCCTTCGCAGGCAGCCTGTCGTTTGTGGCAGGCTTGGTGCCGCACCTGAGGCCATTCCTCTCCACATTCTGGGCCGTGCTGGCAGGTGTTGGAGCGGCGAATGACGGAGCTGGTACCCGGCATTCCGGAAAGCTACTCCACACGCGCCGGTTCAAAGCGGCACTGAGATGGATCGAGGCATAGCTGAGAGTGGCGCCAGCACCCTTAACAAGAACTTTGTCAGCAAGGTTCACTGAAGTGAAAGCCACCATAACAACGGACGCATCGCCCTGGGGCATCGGAGGCGTCATGAGGGTGGAAGGATGCACTCCGCAGTGCTTCTCATCGCCCATACCTGCAGAGGCGCTGAAGAGATTCAAAGCGCAGACAGGGCTGTCAAAATTCAATACAGTATGGGAAGGGCTAGCCTTACTTGTAGCTTTCCGCATTTGGCTCCCCTCGTTGGGTCACGGAGCACAAGTACGGGCAAAGTCCGACAATGTCGGCGTCCTCTACATGATCGCCAATGGCAAGGCCACGTCGGCTGAGCTGAACATACTAGCGAGAGAATTCTCGCTGGACCAAGCACTACAGGTCTACAGGGTGAACTGGCTAGTCCACATTCCAGGGATCACAAACCTGGAGGCCGACTCACTCTCTAGGCAGTTTTCTCCCTTACCTCCGGCCTGGCCCTCCACATTGGCAGACGCAATAGTCAGGCCAGGACTTTTGGAGGGTGCATGATCTTTGACCGTCCGCAGGGGCTAAAACAGGCATCCTGCGTGTGGGGTCAGGTCATAGGGGTGCCGCTAAGGGAGGGGGGGCTTGCATGTTCAGGATCCCGTCCTTTAGACATGTAGTCCCTCAGCATGCCTAGGTTCAAGAGATCCGTGGGCGCGGGCCCTTGGCTTCCACCGCACAAGCCGGTGGCCAAAGCCAGGCCTTCTTCTTCTCCCTCCGTCTTGCACGAGGGCTTTGCCATTCGCATTCCGTCCCGGAGCGAGGCAAGACCCATCATCGACAGGGCAACAGCAGCACCCGAAGGTCGCGAGGCGGCTGGCGTTCCTTCCGTCGGGGACAACAACGTTCTCGATGGAGAACCCAGACCTTATGGCCGCGGATCATCGGTGGCTGCATTACAAGCCCTGAATGATCCAGAGAAGTGCATAAGCCATCTCAAAGATGGTATGCAAGCGAGTACCACAAAGGGCCCAACAGCCTCCAGGAGAACTTTGTGGGCCGCCTTGGCGGCAAAAGCGGGTTACTCCGAGCCTTTCAACCTGGAGCCAAACATGATCTACGCAGTCATGGGGGCCCTGAATCTCGCTGGCTACAGATCTTCAGAGCTGTACCTGGAAGCAGCCAAAGGCGTGCACATTGCAGAAGGATGTCCCTGGACACAACAACTGCAACAAGCAGCCAAAGCGGCAATACGAAGCTGCAAACGGGCCAGAGGACCGCCCAAACAGGCGGCAGGCCTCCCCATGGACAAGCTGAGCAAGCTGAACCTAGATCAGCAGCTGGCTCCGGGGGGGCCTTCCTGGCCGGTTCGATCCACACTGCTGGCAGCATGGTGGCTGCTAAGAGAGATCGAGGCTTCCAGAGCCAAGAAGAAGCACATCACGGTGGTGCGTGAACTAAAGCGCATAACCTGGCGCCTGCCAAGCTCGAAGACAGATCAGGCAGCGCTGGGAGCAGAGCGCACACACACGTGCAACTGCGCTTTCTCACCACCTGAGATGTGCCCATATCAAATGATGGTGCAGCATCTCGGAGAGAGACCACATGATGACGACCTCATCTTCCAAGACCAGCTGGGCGAAAGAACAACAAAGTCTGGATGGGCCGACACATTCCAGGAGCTGGCAAGGCATCTGGGCCTTCCCATCACTCATGGCAACGGAGCCCGGGCATACACAGGGCATTCCGCCAGGGTTTCGGGAGCCCGGCATCTTGCCGCCTCACAAGTGGAATTGTGGCGCATCCAACTGTTCGGCAGATGGGGCTCAGAAGTGTTCTTACACTACATTCAGGACACGCCACTGACCCAGCTGAACGACTTAGCCCAAGAGTCCTCAAGATTGTCCATACAGGCAGCCAAAGAAGAGCTATTGACGCTCATAAGGTCCGCACAAAACCTGAAACCACAGTTGGCCTTGCCAAACGTGGACATGCTAGAGGACTGCGAGAGCGCTGCAGACCTATAGCGCCAGCACCAGCCGACAGCGGTACTGAGTTCATATTGAACGCCAACGGAGGGGGCAAACTCCACCGGGTGCTGGACAGAGATCGCACCGAACACCCCAGATCATGGAGAACACGCTGCGGCTGGCGTTTTGGACGCGAGACCACTGAACACCGGTGGATCAGCAGCACGGAGGCAGAAAACTATTCAGCCAGAGCAAAATGCTCAAAATGTTTTCCCCAAACCCGCCAGCACCCCAGTTCGGAGTCGTCATCGAGCAGCTCCACCGACTCTTCCCATTCCTAACGCGCCTGGCGGCAGGAGGGAGAGGTTTGGCGTTGGCTGGAATGTCAGAGGGCATTTATCCTGCAGTCCTGGGTGTGGTAGTGAAACTAACCATAACAGGAGCTGCGACATTCCGGGCCAACTTAGAAAAGTTGCGATGACAGGTGCGTGGTAGGGGTAGTCGAGTTGCATTGTCGAATCATGACGCAGAGTGTCGAAATGACAATGGAGTAGACTGGTGAGGGTGCCCCTTTGTATGCCATTTTGGCTCAAGGGGGCACTTTTGATTACCCTCCCAAAGTTCCCGTCCCCTCTTCAGGGCATTTATCCTGCAGTCCTGGGTGTGGTAGTGAAACTAACCATAACAGGAGCTGCGACATTCCGGGCCAACTTAGAAAAGTTGCGATGACAGGTGGGTGGTAGGGGTAGTCGAGTTGCATTGTCTCCAAGTGCAAGAGAAGACCCCAGAGCGTAGCATGACATATGTGTCCAAGTGCAAGTGAAGACCCCAGAGTGTAGCATAACGTATGTGTGCAAGCGTTTAAGTTGACATGAACACTATTGCCCGGCCGCACCCCAACCCAACCCCACCCCGATGTGCACAACATACAGTCCATGCGTGTTCAAGTGGACATGAACCTTTTACCCCCACCCCACCCCACCCCAACCCCACCCTGTATGACAAATTTGCATATTGTATTGCGGGTTTCTAGGGACGTGCATGGTCTTAGTGAAGCTGCCATGGCTCACAAAGTCAGGTCAGATCAGATGCTCATCTTGTGGGACCCGAGCTGGGCGCACAGGTTGTGGTGTCTCTTCGAGTTCGCCGCCTTTTTGAAGTCGAAGCAGTCCACCAGTGGCTGGTGGAAAATTAACATATACAATGTTTTTTTGGGTTGCAAATGGGAGATATTTGCCCCACATGGTGGAACAAACCCCTGCAGTTGATGTTGCAAATGGTCAAAGACATGGTTTCTTTTCCCAGTGTTTCAAAGTTACACCAGTAGATGTTCCATTTCGTCAACAGGTCAGGATCTGGTCATCAGACCCACCATTGTCGGTGGCTTGTCCATCGCCACCTTCATTGTGTTCTCCATGATGGCCCTGGCTTTGACGACTACCCCGCTGGACAGTGATCATGTTATCATCCCCATGGTCGCTGCATTAGTCTTTGCGTTGCTTTCGGGCTATCCAGCAACGAGCTTCTTGGAAGAGTCTGGCGAAAAACTTGGTGTTTTGTTGCAATGGGCCCGCAAATCTCATCGTGTTGTGCTATATATCTTGTATAGCATCTCTGAATCCGCTTTAGGTTGCCAAAATGATCAACTCAGAGCACTAATTGGAGATTTCTCCAAGCAGACATTCACCGGGGAAATCCAGAGGGAATTTGTGGCGGTGGGGCATGTTCCATCCCATTTGGGATGCTGATCCCAACTGACGGTTGAAACTATGAGGTAAGTTGATATTATTTGAATCTTCTGGGTGAATTCCCCATTTTTGATAGTGAAGTACTCGATTCGTTCTCCTATTATAGTTCATAAAAGTATCCCGTGAAATCTCCCATGGTATCCCATCGGTATTCGCAAGAGCCAGTTGCTGGAAGATTGGCCATGAAATATGCAACTATTCATTAAGAAAGGAACAAGAAAAGTACACCCTTGGCAGTTCTATTCCCAGGATATTCCCACTCACATCCCATAAACCAGCATAAAGCTGAGTGATCCCCATAAAATCAGCCATTTTGTTCGTACCCGACAAAGGCTTGATGCGTGGCTACTTTCGATCACTGGACCTGATGGAGGAGCAGTGTCCCAGCTATGATAGTTGAAAACTATGAAATCTGGCAATACAAATCTATACAAAACTGTGAACATGTGGAAGACATCAAAAAAATCCAACGTGTTCTGGTTCATGATTTGGAATATCGCTATTTTGTTCAACACCTGAAATGTTCATAGGAACAAAGGATTTAAATCCCCGGTTTTTGGCTGAGCATGGGCCAAGTCAAGGTTGAACGGAAAAATATATGAACATTGCCACCTTGGGGTACCGATGTTTGCGAAACGCGAACTTGGTAATCTTAACCGCGGATTGTCGCAGGTCACCTTCCGAGGCATCACAGAATCTAACAGATGTTCCCAGCCCGTGGGCTAACTGACACTACATCATTCTACATCAACATATTTGCAGTTAGAACCCACTTGCCATTAGCTTCAAGATGGTTCGGTAGATTTTGTTTGAAGGCGATGAAGAGGGAGAAAGGGAGATGTTTATTTGCATATATATATATATATATATACATACAGAAGAGGGAAATATAGATTGATGGACGGATAGATAAGACAATATTATATTAGATATGAACTGACATGATATGACATGACATGACATGAGATGATATGATATGATTAGTTAGATAGATGGTTCGATAGATAGATAGAAAGATTGATAGATAGATAAATAGATACACTGCCCTCAGGGTACTTTCTCAGAGGTGGTTGCGCCATCATTTAGTATTGAAAAAATCCTTTCCGATATGTACCCGAAACAGCAAATGTGCCCGAAGATGGCGCAACCCTACATGTGCAAAATAGGCCAAATTGCGCCATCTACCACATTTTTAATTTAAATCCCTTCTTCTGGGACTGGACATTTCGGTCATCAAAACGATGAAAAAAAAAGGTGTGTGTGTTCAACAAAAGCTTTTCGGGGAAAGGAATTTTTCACTCCTAAATAGATGGCGCAACCACCTGGGACAGTGCCATCCAATTGCAGGAGAAAGGAGAAATGAGAAAAGGAAAGAAGAAAGGGGAAAGGGAAAGGAGAAGGGGAAAGGGGAAGGGAATGAGAAAGCGAAAGGAGAAAGCAGAAAGGGGAAATGGGGAAAGGAGAAAGGGGAAGGGAAAGGGAAAGGAAAAGGGGAAAGGGAAAGGGACAGTGAAAAGGAGAAAGGGAAAGGAGAAAGGAGAAAGGAGAAAGCGAAAGGGACAGGGAACAGGGAACATGATTTTTCTTCGTGAAACCATGATTGTGGATTGCGCCATCTATAGGTTACCGCTGCGTTCCATTGTAAAGGGAAAGGGCAAGGAGGAGGGAAAGGAGGAGGGAAAAAGGAGAAAAGTAAGGGGAAAGGAGAAAGGAAAAGAATTAAGGAAGGGAATGAGAAAGGGAACGGGGAAAGGAGAAAGGGGGAATGGGGAAAGGAGAAAGGGGAAGGGACAAGGGAAAGGAGAAGGGAAAAGGAGAAAGGGAAAGGGACAGTGAAAGGAGGAGGGAAAGGAGAAAGGAGAAAGAGAAAGGGACAAGCAACAGGATTTTTCTTTGGGAAACTAGAACTGTGGATTGCGCCATCTATAGGTTCCCACTGCGTTCCATCTGTAAAGGGAAAGGGAAAGGAGGAGGGAAAGGAGAATGAGAAAGGAGAAAGGAGAAAATGAAAGGGAAAGGAGAAAGGAGAAAGGAGAAAGGGAAAGGGAACAAGATTTTTCTTTGGGAAACCATAACTGTGGATTGCGCCATCTATAGGTTACCACTGTGCTCTATTTGTAAGGGGAAGGGGAAAGGAGAAGGGAAAGGAGAACGGAAAAAGGAGAAAAAGAAAGGGAAAGGAGAAAGGAGAAAGGAAGAAAGGATAACAAAGAAGGGGAAAGGGAAAGGAGAAAGGGAAAGGAGAAAGGGGAAATGGGGAAAGGAGAAAGGGAAGGGGAAATGGGGAAGGGAGAAAGGGAAGGGGAAAGGAGAAAGGGAAAGGGACAGTGAAAGGAGGAGGGAAAGGAGAAAGGAGAAAGCGAAAGGGACAGGGAACAGGGAACAGGATTTTTCTTCGTGAAACCATGACTGTTGATTGCGCCATCTATAGGTTACCACTGCCCTCCATTTGTAAAGGGAAGGGGAAAGGAGAACGGAAAAAGGAGAAAAAGAAAGGGAAAGGAGAAAGGAGAAAGGAAGAAAGGATAACAAAGAAGGGGAAAGGGAAAGGAGAAAGGGGAAATGGAGAAAGGGGAAATGGGAAAGGGAGAAAGGGAAGGGGAAAGGGAAGGGAGAAGGGGAAAGGAGAAAGGGAAAGGGACAGTGAAAGGAGGAGGGAAAGGAGAAAGGAGAAAGGAGAAAGCGAAAGGGACAGGGAACAGGGAACATGATTTTTCTTCGTGAAACCATGACTGTGGATTGCGCCATCTATAGGTTACCGCTGCGTTCCATTTGTAAAGGGAAAGGGCAAGGAGGAGGGAAAGGAGGAGGGAAAAAGGAGAAAAGTAAGGGGAAAGGAGAAAGGGAAAGAATTAAGGAAGGGAATGAGAAAGGGAACGGGGAAAGGAGAAAGGGGGAATGGGGAAAGGAGAAAGGGGAAGGGACAAGGGAAAGGAGAAGGGAAAAGGAGAAAGGGAAAGGGACAGTGAAAGGAGGAGGGAAAGGAGAAAGCGAAAGGGACAGGGACCATGATTTTTCTTCGTGAAAGCATGACTGTGGATTGCGCCATCTATAGGTTACCGCTGCGTGCCATGTGTAAAGGGAAAGGGCAGGGAGGAGGGAAAGGAGGGGAAAAAGGAGAAAAGTAAGGGGAAAGGAGAAAGGGAAAGGGAAAGGAGAAAGGGAAAGGAGGAGGGAAAGGAGAAAGGAGAAAAAGACAGGGGAAGGAGAAAGGGAAAGGAGAAAGGAAGAAAGGATAACAAAGAAGGGGAAAGGGAACGGAGAAAGGGACAGGAGAAAGGGAAGGGGACAGGAGAAAGGGAAGGGGACAGGAGAAAAGGAAAGGGGAAAGGGAAAGGAGAAGGGGAAAGGGGGAAGGGAATGAGAAAGGGAAAGGAGAAAGGACAAAGGGAAGAAAAAACCGAGCGCAACCGACTGGGTGAATTATGCGGAGGCTTGGAAACTTAAGAATCCCTGCATAGATGGCACGACCCACAAAAAAAAGGCGATGGATGTCACGCCCTTTTCGGGTGTCAAAATTCAAAATATCGGCGCCATCTACACGCGCACTTTGGAAGTGGGCGGGGCCATCTATTCTCAATGCGGTGTAGATAGATGGATAGATAGATAGATAGATAGATAGATACATTGAAGGCAACCCCACACTTGGACAGACCATACAGATACTAGTAGAGAAATGCAAGTGACAAAGGTTTTTACGTTACATCAATAGTTAGTTCACTTAGCCGGGTAGCATTCACCAAAGTTTCCAGGGTTGATCCCTGAACCGAGTGGACATGGTTGACATAGTTTCTGGGGGGCCCAGAGAGTGGTGAAGTACTATTCTGTTTGGAATGCTAGCCCCATATGTATAGTCGTTTGCATATACAGATCACGGCAGATACAGATAGACACATACATACATTGATACATGCATATATTACTTATTATTATTATATATTGTTATTATATGTTTTTACTATTATATATATATAAACACACATATATATATATATAATATATATATATATATATATTATACATTTGCATGGACGTATTTTTTACATAACATACAGTTGTTACACACACATGTACTTATATAATATATACATATTGTATATGTATATGCACATGAACTATGTATATGCATATGAACTTTGTACATGTGCACGCACACACACACACATTTAAGCATACAAAGGTATTTATACACATGTACAGTTGACTATATTATGCATGTGCATACCATCATGTATTAAATGAATATGTGCATATTATATGGTACAAAAAAAATAACCCACACCAACACACGTCCGAGGTTGTTATCGATTTCTTTTGACAAAACCAGAAGCGCATGCTGCGACTCGAATCACATTAGCCATGCAGCGACCGAAAGGTGAGAATTGATCAAAATTTATGTCCGCCAATTTGTTGTGCGACCGAAAGGTGAGAATTGATCAAAATTTATGTCCGCCAATTTGGAGATGTGCATATCATATAGTACACATGTTTTATATTTTTTAAATATACAACCCATATGTAATTAACTGGGTATATCCCGTATTTTATTGATGGCTGGGTATATCCCATGGGATCCCCCGGCCAGGTGGTCAAAGAATGCGTGAGCAGATGGTTTGGGAGCGAGGCGGCTTTCATCGAATCCATCCGCCACGAGGTGTTGGGCATTTTGAAAGCAGCTTTGAGCGGAAAAACTTTCACCCGAGAATGGGCCTTTGGAGTCACCTTTCCTGCCTTTTGGGCCGACCTGGATTTTGCCGCCTATTGTGCGCGACTCAACCAGTGGGATCGCTCACTAGCCTTCATCATCGAGGGCTTGGGTGTGGTCTTTGTTGTTATTCCCCCGACTGCGCAGTTGTTGATTCAAATCTGCCGGCTCTACCGCCACAAAGCCAGTAGTCCTTGCCGTGAGGTGATCTACAATCTCTTCGTGATGTTTCTTTGCTCTCTCCCCATCATAATCGCAATGATTGTTTGGATACTGTCAGGCTATATGGTCTATGTTCCGGTGACGCATAACGGCGGCTCCGTTTTGCTTGGCTCAGCCACGTGGTTTCTGCTGATGCTGCTTCAAGGCACCATCAGCCAGCGACTTGTACAACGCTGGACTAAATCCATGTGAAATTGAGCGAGCAGAGGAAAATATGCGGCATGTTCAACTCCTGAGTTGAGGATCCCAGAACTGGTGGTTGAACCTTTGGGAAAACATTGGTTTACAGTCTGCAGTTCCGATAAGTCAATGTAACCAATCCATTGACAGGGACATGTGGACATGTGACTGAGTTTCACCAACCTTGTTTCTTAGATAATTTTGTGCCCATATTAGTGCCCTTACATTCCAAATTATGAATGGGCACTTCTGGGCCAGATATCCATGTCATGTGGATCCAGCAGTAAACACTTCCAAGTTCCATCATGTTCCACCCCCCCTTGGGATGGTAGGTGGCCGATTTATCCAGCAGCATGGTGATTTTCCTTTAGAATCCCTTTAGAACTATGGGAGACTCGCCACTGAATATCAATGAAGTTCAATTAATAATAATTAATATACATCCACATTTTATCACATTGTCATATAGAAATATATAGAACATTGCCAGCAGATCCTCCTATCGGAGATATCGTTGATACTTCGTTGATGGCCCCGCGAGGCCTGGATCAGCTCATGCCGAGACGTGGCTCCGCTTCTGTCTGAGGGGAAATCTGAGTTCCGAAAATCCTCTACACCCGCGGGATTTTCCATTGAGATTGAAATGGCACATCAGAAGATGTTTACAAGGAGCAGAGGAGACATGTTTTTGCTCCACGACACGTCCTCACGTTTCAACTTCACCTATGGGTAGGATTGGAGAGAATCTTCCCAGTAATGGCCGAAATTTGACTTTTGGAACTATACTAACATATACTAACTATATCTGACTATACTAGTTTTCCCAGTTGTATAACATGTGTGTCACCATACGGAAGGAGATGCGTATACTGTGATCATTGGATGATTTGGATGCTCATGCTGCAAGAGCAGTCAAAATTGCGTATACTTCAAGCTGCTATGTAGGAACCTGCTCCCAAAGGAGTCAACGGCACCTGAACCAGCCACAATACGGAATCTATGTGCTTGCAGTTGTGTCATTTCGGCATGCCTGATTTTATGACATAAAACCCTAATTCCGAAAGTATAGACAAATTTCATAGAGGCTAGGCCCATGCGTCACTTCAGACTTGTGTTTCTCGGCACTCGTTCAACACCGATTGAGAAGCAGCATCAATCATTGCGCTCAAACACACCTTTCAATGGCTTCGTCATTCACAACAATTAGAATTAGCGCTCCTGATGCTGCGGCGGAATTTTGCCAACCATGCATGCGAAAAGAAGCGCAGGATGGAAACAATTTTCAGGTCATGGCCTCACTGGTGCGCATTCCAAACACGTACGGCATTTCGATGCATGATTTCCAACGTGTAACTGAGACTTCTGCCGAAAATCCACGCCCCCCAGTGCCCCATGGGGTTCTCATCACAGGCACACAATGGCGCCGTTCCCTTGAGACGCTGTTCATAGCTCGACAGCTGGGATTGGAGCCTAATACCTTTACAGGCACGGTCGTCCAGTCGGTACTGTCTAGTCTAGTTATGTCTAGTTACTCTGGGTGTTGTGCCACGGCCACATTTGTTGGAATAATTAAACATGTTTGCCAGGGGTGTTCCCTGCAGGATGTGGACCGCGGAAGGGCAAAGGAGGGACAATGACTATCCCTGAAGCGGGAGAACTCCAATACCCATAAAATAGTTTAACCCTGGGCCCTGAAATTGACACAATATTGACAAATAGTTACTCAGGCTAGGTGGTGGTAATAGTATGAAATTGTATCTTATAATTATAATGTAATTATGATGGATGGAGAGCTTTTTTTGAACCCCACTGCCCCTAAAGTCAATGCGTAGCAGTCTAGCTGGGTATTACCGGAAGGAAGGAGGACATCACCAGCCAGATTGATAGCTGCCCATCAGCCGAAACGAACCATTTGATCTCGTTTGATCATTGGGAGGGGCATGAAATTCTCATCTAGACCACATTCAACCCATGAACCATCTCACTAAAACCTTGACTATTATTTGCGGCCAGGGAATGCTGCAGTGGCCGCCCTTGAGCGCGGACTTCAGTGGCAAGGCGCTCTTTTTGCGCTGCAGGCGCAACCGGGCTGTGCTGGTTGATGGAAGTGTGGGTCAAGTTACTTTTGAAATCCCATATTAGATATATTACCTTTCATATATATATATATATATATTACACACACATATCTATATATAAGGCCATTTCATTATATTCAGGGGTTATTACAGTACATTCAGGGGTTAGACAATTGCAATTGGTTCTCGTTATCGCGTTGTCTTGGACACTGGTCAAACAAAAGTGGCATCGGTTTTGCATGCTTCAACACCATGTGCAGCAAACACCAGCAGCAAATTTCATTTTTGTCTCTTGCTTTTGATGTTGTGAACACGCTATGCTCCGCTGCGCTTCCTTCGGTTCAGAGCACCACACCACCATTTTGGCAATTCAGGCCCACACTTTGACTGACAAATGATGTGGGAATGTGTGAGTACGAAAAGAGTATGCCTCAAAAAAACTATGTTTGAACACATTTCTTTTGACAACATATCCTATATAACCGATGGTGTTGATGCCATCATGCTTTGAAAGTTCCATCACTCAGTGACTTCACCTGGCATGGCCAATCAATGATTATCCCAGAGCATGAAGGCCACCGAAGAGAGCAAAGAAAATCATCTTCAATAACAATCGTGTACCTGATCGTACCTCTAATCGAAAAGATGTTTGCACGAATTGTAAGTAGCAAAAAGAACACTCAGAAAGGAGGGCTCACAAGGTAAATCTTCAGACAATACATCTCTACCAAATCTGAATTCTTCCCTTTGGCTTTAAAGTCTAAAAAGGTCTGCAAAACAGTTGCGCGCAAAAGATTTGCACAGATTGCGCGCAGAAAAGAACAATGCACATTGCGTAATATACTGCTGTTGCCGGCGCAGGCGTCGGCGCCGTCGCCGTCGCCGACGCTGGCGCCGACGCAGGTGTCGGCGCCGTCGCTGGCGCCGTCGCTGGCGCCGGTCTAGGATATTGCGCAGGGATATTACGCGAGGCTATTGCGCGAGGATATTACGCAAGAAAGATATTGCGCAAAGTATTCCGCAGAGATATTACGCAAGGATATTTCTCAAAGATATTACCCATGTTGCGCAATGATATACTGTAATGCAAGATATTGGGCGATAATTTTGGGCACCAACAGTAGCGGATCAGCTTGGATGCTAACGACAGCTTTCTCTTGTAGAGTGTAGAGCCTTGCAGCCACAGGTAGCCACATTGAAATGAAAGCTAGTGAGCTTTTGAACACTCTGTCACCCCAGTGATCCTGTACCCATCGAAATCATATGCCCAGAGCAGTACGAACTGATAATTGAAAAACAAAGTTTGCAAGAAGCAAGGTTCCAAGTTCCGAGGTGATATGTTACAGAGGCACCTGTAGATACATAGTTGGCATTGGGCGCTGCTGACCTCAGGGTTCTTTCATACGAAGTGTGATCAACATATCATTTAGTCAATCAGGTTCAGTTTCGTGGCCGTGCTGCAATGGTAGTGCATGCAGAAGCCAGGCAATATCAGGCAACCATTTTTTCCCCACAGGCCACCCCAGCTGTAGGATCTAAGCGCGACCCTTCATCTCCTTCAACATTCGACACACAGTTCGAAGGTGGTTCTCCAAGAGGATGATTTTTTGGCCTTAACCAGAGTTAAGGCATCATGCATCAGCAATGACACAGTGGTGGGCACGAAAAAGAATGATATTGCAACCACATTGGCAAGGTTTCGAGCTTAAGAGCCATTCCAGCAAATTTCCACGCCTAGAGGCTCTGCTCATAGTTCTTGTGGGTAAGTTTCTCCTCTGTCTGATGAAAGATGTTTGATTTCTGTCGCTTGCTCTGCTGTTCGTGTACTTGAAGACGTCACCAAGCGCGATGTGGCTGACATGATCATGCTTCATCACCACGCAGTGAATCTCGACACAGAGACAGGCAAGGCATCTGGAAATGTTGGAGTTAAAGGGGGTGATGGCTTGGGCTAAGCCCAAAGGACGATGGTTTCACCCGGACCCTCACCCCCTGTGATGTGTCCGTCAACAAAATATCCTGGCAGAATGTCTGCAGGATTTTCTGGCAGAATATCTGCGCGATATTCTGGCAGAATGTTTGTGCGATATTCTGGCAGAACATCTGGCTGTGGTATTGGGGCATAATATCGCTGATATTCTGGTATACATGACCTGGCAGACTTTATTGTGATCGCAGGTTGATATAAAATAGTACGTGTCTAGGACCCAGCGCAGATTCTCAAATGGGTGGCCAAGACAATCTGTCATCGTCCTTTTGGAGCCTGAACAACAAAGTTTCAAAGGGTGATGGTCCGGGTCAGAACGTCGTCCCCTGACAGGAGGTGTTTTACGACAGTGAGGTGTTTTGCAATCATGCAACCCCCAAAACCTGGTATCCCCATAGCCCGCAGGAATACCACACAGCAATTTGTGGTCAACATCAGGTCCTGGGATATTTTGGGCAAGTCTTACGCTTGGTTTTCGGGCTCCAGGGGGTGATGGTCCGGGTGGGAACATCGTCCTTTGAAATTTCTATTTATGAGCAGCCAGGGGGTGACAGCAGAATGTCCCGCAAGACATTCACAGCGCTTTAAAGCAAAACTGTTTAAAAGTCAGTCGATCACAATGTAGTCTGCCAGGTCATGTATACCAGAATATCAGCGATATTATGCCCCAATACCACAGCCAGATGTTCTGCCAGAATATCACACAAACATTCTGCCAGAATATCGCGCAGATATTCTGCCAGAAAATCCTGCAGACATTCTGCCAGGAGATTTTTTTGACGGACACATTACAGGGGGTGAGGGTCCGGGTGAAACCATCGTCCTTTGGGCTTAGCCCAAGCCATCACCCCCTTTAACTCCAACATTTCCAGATGCCTTGCCTGTCTCTGTGTCGAGATTCACTGCGTGGTGATGAAGCATGATCATGTCAGCCACATCGCGCTTGGTGACGTCTTCAAGTACACGAACAGCAGAGCAAGCGACAGAAATCAAACATCTTTCATCAGAGGAGAAACTTACCCACAAGAACTATGAGCAGAGCCTCTAGGCGTGGAAATTTGCTGGAATGGCTCTTAAGCTGGAAACCTTGCTAATGTGGTTGCAATATCATTCTTTTTCGTGCCCACCACTGTGTCATTGCTGATGCATGATGCCTTAACTCTGGTTAAGGCCAAAAAATCATCCTCTTGGAGAACCACCTTCGAACTGTGTGTCGAATGTTGAAGGAGATGAAGGGTCGCTCTTAGATCCTACAGCTGGGGTGGCCTGTGGGGAAAAAATGGTTGCCTGATATTGCCTGGCTTCTACATGCACTGCCATTGCAGCACGGCCACGAAACTGAACCTGATTGATTAAATTATATGTTGATCACACTTCGTATGAAAGAACCCTGAGGTCAGCAGCGCCCAATGCCAACTATGTAAATCTACAGGTGCCTCTGTAACATATCACCTCGGAATTAGGAACCTTGTTTCTTGCAAACTTTGTTTTTCAATTATCAATCGTACTGCTCTGGGCATATGATTTCGATGGGTACAGGATCACTGGGGTGACAGAGTGTTCAAAAGCTCACTAGCTTTCATTTCAATGTGGCTACATGTGGCTGCAAGGCTCTACACTCTACAAGAGAAAGCTGTCGTTAGCATCCAAGCTGATCCGCTACTGTTGGTGCCCAAAATTATCGCCCAATATCTTGCATTACAGTATATCATTGTGAAATATGGGTAATATCTTTGAGAAAATATCCTTGCGTAATATCTCTGCGGAATACTTTGCGCAATATCTTTCTTGCGTAATATCCTCGCGTAATAGTCTCGCGTAATATCCCTGCGCAATATCCTAGACCGGCGCCAGCGTCGGCGCCAGCGACGGCGCCGACACCTGCGCCGGCGACAGCAGTATGTTGCGCAATGCGCATTGTTCTTTATCTGCGCGCAATCTGTGCAAATCTTTTGCGCGCAACTGTTTTGCAGACCTTTTTAGACTTTAAAGCCAAAGGGAAGAATTCAGATTTGGTAGAGATGTATTGTCTGAAGATTTACCTTGTGAGCCCTCCTTTCTGGGTGTTCTTTTTGCTACTTACAATTCGTGCAAGCATCTTTTCGATTAGAGGTACGATCAGGTACACGATTGTTATTGAAGATGATTTTCTTTGCTCTCTTCAGTGGCCTTCATGCTCTGGGATAATCATTGATTGGCCATGCCAGGTGAAGTCACTGAGTGATGGAACTTTCAAAGCATGATGGTATCAAACACCATCGGTTATATAGGATATGTTGTCAAAAGAAATGTGTTCAAACATATTTTTTTTGAGGCATACTCTTTCCGTACTCACACATTCCCACATCATTTATCAGTCAAAGTGTGGGCCAGAATTGCCAAAATGGTGGTGTGGTGCTCTGAACCGAAGGAAGCGCAGCGGAGCACAGCGTGTTCACAACATCAAAAGCAAGAGACAAAAATGAAATTTGCTGCTGGTGGCACATTGTGTGGAAACATGCGAAACCGATGCCGCTTTTGCTTGCCCAGTGTCCAAGACAACGTGACGCTGGGAACCAATTGCAAGTGTCTAACCCCTGAATGTATTGTAATAACCCCTGAATGCAATGAAATGGCCTTATATATATATATATATATTTAACTATAACTACCTATGACTGGGGGATAACCATCCGGGCAATGCTCCTGTAGAATGAAATTGTGAACATCCACCAGCAGCCCAGGGGATGGAGTCCAGAAAGACCTTAACTGGTTTCACCACAAGTACCTTTCAAGAATCCCATAGTTGGTTGCAGGAACAGAACAGCCTTGTGGCCGAGGATCAAGGCCTTGGTTTCCTGTAGAAACCTCGATCCATGCTCCCAGGCACGTGAGCATGGCCCATGCCCTGATCGAATCACCTACAACACAGTCCCCTGCCATGGCAACTGGGAATGGGTGATGTGACCACCATCGAGTTGGAAATAAATGGAGCCGAACAAGTTTCCAGGCCAAAAAATATAGCCCAGCTATGACACCTATGATGAGATTTTTACACCATGCAATTTCCATGTGTCCAACATTGTCCAACCAGCAGTTTTGGGATCTTTTGGGTCCCAACAGGACCGCTCTTTCAGATTTTCAGGTCATCACAGCTCTCGGGCGCCAGAGCCTATGGCAAGAAGCCATCGCCATGCTAAAGGTGTGGGCGCCAGAGCCTATGGCTGGAGGGGTTGGCTTCAGCAGAGTTATGATATGGTTATGGTTTCTTTAGAAAGCTAAAATAGGTCCTATAGTTTGTTTTTTCTTCAGATTAAATTTTATGATTGATTTATATTCTAAGTTGGGACATGTTGGGACCATATTTTTAGCCTTATAGGTCCTATGGTTTTTTGTTTTTCTTGGGGGAATGGTTTGAAAAGCCGGTGCAGGAGCTGAGTGAAGAGCTGCTGGAGCCCAATGCCGTGAGTTTCAACGCAGCGGTGGCGGCATGTTGGGGGCCCTAGATTTGCCGCAGTTGGATTTTGGGATTTCCAAATTTTTGGAAACCAGGCTTTGGACCATCATTTTTCCAGGGGATTCCTGCAAATCAAAAAGGGTGCAGGAAACATTGCAGAAACTTGGGTTTCAAGCTGCAAAAGTACGGCATAATTCGGCATAATGTCGATGGAGATAAACGAGGATTTGCCCCTGAGGGGATTTAGATGGCGTCTTACTAATAGTATGTCAAGAATGGTGATGGTCCGTTTCTTTGGGAATCCCTTGCGGATTTGTTGAGGCTGTGATTGTTTTCACATCTGAAGTCAGATACTGGAATCTACTGCGAAGTTCCCTGCTTTAGGAAGAAGTATGCGTCCCAACAGGCTCAGGTGCCACCATGACACACACAAATTTCCTGCTGTTGATGAGAGTGTCCTGACTAAGTGTTAGAGGAAAGTAGTCATCCATTATCCATCTCCCATGTATGACAGGGTTTATTGGTTGACAGGAATGGTAGAATGCTGGGTTTGTTGGGTTTGTTGGGTTTAGGCTTAGATGTGGAAAGGGGTGAAAATGTCAAAGCAACCTAGAGATGCGCATGCTCACTTGACATTATTTGACATAGTTCGATCTCAGTTTCATCATTTGTGCCATGGTCAGAGAATGCAAAACACCGGGGAGAGTGTGGGTACAAAGATAAGTACAAAGGCTGTTTCCATGGCAACATTCAATTTGCATTTACAACGTGCCATGAGAAATGCACCCTGAAATCATTTGGAAGATGAAGTTCCTATGATCCAATATATTGGAAACATGCCACGTGTAGCGGGTATAACATGGTATAACGGTATAATCAACCAAAAAAAATAGTGATCAACAAATCTTGCTATGTCCACAAGAAACGGATGTTGAAGTCCCACCCATGAAATGCATTGGATTTGGAAATCCCAGGAATTCAAAATCAGACCCTGGCCGGTGAGGTGCCCAAAGCTGGAGAATGGCGCTGGATCTCCTGAGGACAGCAGTTTTTGACGATTTTCCCATGGTGGGTGGATTTTTCATTACCACCTTTGACTACCGGGGGGGTATACATTATATTCATTATATAATATATATATATATCATTATATAATTACATACATTGGTAGATGGTAGACGTCAATATGGTAATTAAATGTAACTTAACAAAGCTATGGGCAATCTATAGCTAATCATCACAACTTAATTAAACGGACTACGTAGCTACGTTGCACCAAAGAGTAACCATCATTCCGACGACCGCCTTCCAGGATCGGTGCCACGACTTTGGCCGCCTATCCGCGGCTCCCAGGCTGTTCCTCAGGCATCAGCGCCTGTGCTCGCGCGGGCTGCTGGCTCCGGGCCTTACACAGCTTCCAAGGCATGTGCCTCTTGGACGAAGCCGAAGCGGGTTCTTAAGGCAGAAGACATGGCCGGGAAACCATGAGCACCGTGATAGCAGCATATCCTGGAACTTCATAGTATGTTTCGAGATTTTGGGGTGACTTCCACTTCTTCAACCATTTTTCAAGCCACTTCATGCTTTCCAATTGTGGTGACAGGAGCGTGAGGGTTTATGAATTTGAGAAAGATCAGTGACGACAAGATTTGGAAGGATCATTTCATTTATTTTTGCAACACGATACCCTCATCCCATGCCATGCCTACAGGCCAGCTCCATGATGCTCCATGTTACCGTATGGCACTGTCATTGTCACTGTGACGAGATAGTGAACAAGTTTAATTCATCACCTTAATTCATGCTGAAGATTACCATAGACTACGCACATACAGACATACATACAGACATACATCATACATCCATATATAATATAATATATATATATATCATATACAATATAATATATATATATTATATAATATATATAATATGCATGTGTGCGTGTGTCCCTTTATATTACCTGGTTATATCAATATTGCTTTGATTTTATTTAGTTCTTGCATTGGTGTAGCCTGTGGAATTTGCAATGCCTCAGGTCGGCACGGTCCTGCACCAGATGTCGCCGCCTGCGGTGCGCTGCTGGATGCGTTTGATGAAGCCGGACAATGGCAGTGGTCCCTGTGGCTTTTGGTGCCCTGGTGACATTCATCGCCACCGAAGTGCACCAAGAAATCCTGGTCCTGGACTATCATTTGGTATCATTTGGGTTTATCTAGAAATGGGATCGGGAGAGACATACCATCTCATGGTTGATTGCTGGTTGATCATCATTTCCCCCATCCTTCCATTTTGGATCTTGGGTTTTCCCCAAAGTTGGGCCAAACGCGATCTCTTCGGTTTCGCTCGCCCCAGGATCAAATGTTGGAGCAGAAGTTGCTCCGACCAGACTTGGCGGCCATAACCTCTGTCATCAACGCCTGTGGAATGCAGATCCAGTGGGCTCCTTGAAGAAACTATCCATCGGAAAGGCCATGTTTTTTCATGTTTTTTCTACGGAAAAAAACATGGAAAAACAAAGGATCCATGACTGTATTTCTGACATAGCTGGGGGTAATCCCAGGTTATTCCCGTATTTTTTTCCTCCTGGATATCAACTATTGCAACTATATATATATAAATATATATATTGGTAATTGAAACCACAATGGATAGTTACTAATTTAATTGTTATATATATATATTATATATCATACTTCTTGTAGTAATACTTGTCCCTTCAAATTGCCATGAGCAGCTGTACCTAGGAGAGGGCGCTTCACTGGCTGCGCGCCACATCGACGACTTCGCTCAGTCCAAGTGCTGCAACCTACAACGCGGTGGCGGGTGCGTGTGACCGCGGCTTGCAGCCAGAATTGACCTTGGAAATTGTGAGTTACTTGGCACTTGGGAAGCAAATCTTCTGAAAACGCGTGAATTGTTGGGATGGGGTTGTTGGATGATGTTGATTAAATCCAATGCAATCATTTGGAATCATTTGAAAATAGATGAAAGTGGATGGACATTGACATTGGTACAATATGTGGCAGTCAAGGGCCGGCAGAGACTTGATTTCTTCAGTCATGATGGTTTACCATGCGAACGTGGTAAGCCCAACCTATTTAACAACTCCCATGCTTTGAAGGTTCTTGAAGACCCGCAGAGGGCAAGATATAGATGATATAGGAAGGATGGGTATGGCGGGTATGGCATGATATGGCACGATTCACCTATTTTGCGGGTTGTTGGCACATGATATTGTACACCCTTTAATAATCCAACAGAGCTATGGAACATCGCCATATTTGATAGCTAAATCATATCGTATAAATTGATATAAATGGGCAATTTCCGCTATGATGTCAGTTGGCGGGTACTGTATAATTAATCCCATAATCTACAGTAACTATAGTCCCTTAGTCCCGTTTTTGTTGGTTAAACATGGTTAAACTTCATGATTCCCAATAAAAAACGTGTGGTTTCACCCCAAGGTTTTTGGTTGAATCCCATGAGTCCCAGGAGAGCTGAGGGAGAAGCACTTGCAGCTGGCCTCCCAGCTGTAATTCGTTTACTTTGTCGCTATATATATATATGTATTATATATATATATATTATATATGTATATACAGTGTGTATATATATATATGTACTATTCAGTGACTGAACTCTCAGAGAGGGCGATGGAGAGAGAGAGAGAGAGAGAGAGATGTATGTATAATTTTTATTTATTTATGTGTTATATATATATTTATACAATGCAGGATCTATTTCTGTGTATGTGTGTGTGTATGTATTGTTCAATCATTTGTTTTAGATTGCACAAATATACTCATTCTGCATTGGTTGCACAGATGGATATAGTTTACACACCATTCCAGTGGCATTTCAAGTCAAGTCATACCATTGCCAAATTGCCACGGATAAAGATTGTATTTTTTTCGACATTGACCAGTGAACCAGACAATGTACTCAACGTTCGAATTCATGCAATGACATATGTACATGGATATGTGGTGTAGTTATATTGGTGAGCATGAGATCCAGAAACTAGATAAATGCATAATTTTTATGGCATAAATCGTTGACCAACTTGAATACAAAAAACTGTCCCCAAGAAGATAGAAAATAAGCAACATCCAAAAGAAAAAAACTGGGAAATTCAAATCACTTTTTGTCTCTTCTTTGGCTTGGTGTTAAAATGAGCAAATCAATATTTACATACAAATTATACATCAGGGATGGCGATGGAGAAAGACAGAGAGAGAGAGAGAGAGAGAAATATATATATACATGGTTAAAAAATGAATATACCCTCCGGTAATCGAACGTTGCTAGCTGAAAAATCCATCAGCAATAGTTCGATGACTTTCCCAGCGAACTAAACCTTCATGGCTAGGCCACGTGGATTTCCCGGCGCCCCGCCATATTTGATGACACCGGAGGGTGATGGAGGTCTACTCATTTTTGGTGAGTAATCCTAAGTGAGTTATGATTCATATTTATTAATTGGTATATAATTATTTAATAAGGATTATATGATTTTTTTTTACTATGCATTATTTTTTTGAACTATTTATTTATTAGCTTTAGTTCCTAACTGCGATGATAACTTGCCTGAGGACCACATCAGCTACCTGGCTGCGATCAGCGCCTGCGGCAAAGCCCAGCGTTGGACCGACGCCTTGCTGAACTTCCAGCAGCTGCAGCGGTCCATGGCCGTGCCTCAGAATGTGATGAACAGCGCCACTTGGTTGCCATAATCCTAGCGGAGATCACGGGGAAATCAGATGTTCATGTTCCTCAGATGTAATAATCACAAATATGGGGAAATACTGTGAATTGAATAGAATGAATAGAAACATGGTGATATCAAATACATCACATATGAAAAGCAATCGAGGCATATTACTTTACAGGGGATAATGATGGGATATTGCATGGGCTATTCAACTAACCCACTAAAGAGCACGGGATTGAATGGAGAAAACATTGGATGTAATGTGGATACAATGGGACATCACCAACTTAACATGATAATGGTGTTGGTTTGGAAATAGGATATGCCGCAAATCCTCATGGTGCTTAATCATTTTCAATATTGAAATGGATAAAGAGAGAAAAACAAGGGTTACCGATTCAATATTGAGATTTTCCAGTTGGCTATGTTACTTTGCCAGAGGGTAACCCGTGATGAACACTGGGATAGCAAGTAAAACTGCCAACCCTTGGAGTTTTGAACAACGCTAAAATGGCATTGGAACAACGAGACTTGGGGAGACTCAAAACTAGAGATTTGAACAGCAATCGTTGCAACGATCGGAGATGTCATCCCACTAGTTGATGGTCAAATGCAGCCCATTGTGCTACACCGTAAGTCCTTTTTGTTGACGTGTGTGGCCGTTGATTCTGGGAGTGCTTTGCTGACTTGTGCCGCTGGCCTGCAAAGATGTGTGTAGTATATATTATATACCATAAAATACCTCCTGAAATTTAACCTGCAAGAGAAACATGGCCATATGTGCCAATCTTGCAACCTTCTTCTGGTTATACACCCATCTAAGCCTAAGCTTAGCAGCTAAGCTATTGCGCCCTTTCCAGCATTGGATGAAGGGAAAAACATCAGAAAACAATTCAAGCCATGGTTTCCTCTAAACATATTCCTCAGTTTCCCCTTATATAAATCAGTTCCAACCAGAAAACCAAATCCAGACGGATTCCAAACATCTCAGCCAAACCACGGCCCACCATTTGGTGACTCCAATCGAGCAGTTTTTTTTGTTCCAGGCGGTCAGCGCTTGTGAGAAGGGTTCCTCCTGGCTTTCAGCCACAGGCCTTCTTCACCTGGAGGATGGGGTGGACCCGCTGCGGGTCGCGGGTCCAAAGGGTTGGCTGAAAAGGTGTGGTTGAAAGGGAAACAGTATGGGAAACCATTGGGCTAAAAACCCATTAAAGGGTTTTGAGTTTTGCTGAAGATATAGGAACTATAAAATACTATAAGATAAAGGAACTATTTGCATTTTTTTGCCTTAATCCTGTTCAACTGTTCTGTGCCTCACAGGGAAACCTCCGTGGTTCCAGGATGCTCCCGTGCCTCCGTTTCCTTATGAGTCCAGCACAGATTTTCCTGGCTACGACCGTTTGGACACCAAGCTATGGTTGCTCATAGTTAGTTGTTCTGAATGCTCTTCTACCTCAAGTCTATGATTGTTTATATAATCAAAATGCAATGAATCCCAAGTTCTATTGTTTCAATCTTCATGTTTGCTCACCAATTCATCACTAATTAATACTAATTAATCCTTTTATTGCTTCAATCATGTTGAACTCAATTTTTTGGGTGAATTTCCAATCTTATTGGGCCAATATTTCACATTTCCGTCGCTTCATGTTGCTTCTACAAGTCTCAAAATTTTGGGGCTAGTATCATTTTAAAAATCATGCAAATAATATCAATATCCCAACATTTTTCCCTTCCTTTCTGGCCTCCAATCCCTTTGCCATCCCCTGGTCCCGTGGTCCCGGCCAATCCCTGCGGCCAATCCTGGCAGGAGCAGCTGATGCTTCCGCGCAACGTGGTGTCCATCAGCGCAGTGATCACCTCTTTGGCCACGAGGCATTTGTGGCTGCCATCCATGCACTTGCTGCAGCAGATGAGCTGCTGGCCGAAGGGGCCCCAAGGGGGATGGGAATGGCGATTTAAGGAAAAGTGTGGAGATTTCAAGTTGATTGATGTTGTGGCTAAGTTGGTTTAGGTCACTAGTACAGGCTTGTGATATGATATATGATATGTGTAATGATTGGAGTGAATAGCGGTTATAAAGTCATTATCCAGCAAACAAATCTGAGGGCAGCAAGGCACCAAAAGACACCCCAACAAACAAGGCTTCTTGGTCGGCATGAAAGTTTGAGTTGCACAGTCTCTCAGAAGAAAATCATATTTTGGGCAATTCAAGTTGTCTTGTCTTTAACCATACTGGACGTCTTGAGTTTAGTTTTAGGGAACCGAATTCTTGTCCAAAGTCCGCTTTGCTGGCGGCAACTATAGCCTCAACAGGTTTCAAGGATGATTTACAGTACTATTGTTTGTAAAATTACAGGTTAATCATGCGAAATCATGTGGGGTGTTCCAGATGTTTGCACACTATTTCAGTAGAAACGGATACAACTAGGAGACCTACGCAGAGATGTGGGAATATGATGGGTGTTGCGTTCTGTATTGCTCTGTGGAACACAGCCAAGAATCAGGATTGCCTGGTGGGCTCAGACCATTGCACTTATGAATTGCCCATTGGATTGACTGAACCTTGCAGGAAGGCCCTCCCAGTGTGAAGTTATTCCATCTAACTATACCAACTAAAAGCCAACTGTTGGTGCCGCTTCCAGTGGAATCCCCCATATTTGATGGTACACACCATGGAAAACCCTAGGTTTCAACCATAGATTTCCCATCAAACCTTCCATGAAACCCTGGAAATTCATGGAAATTCCCGATGTTTTCCCTTGGGTTCCAAGGGTCCAGGGCCCGAGACCACTGTGATCCCAGGTTCCACTCAGCTTCGCTTGGACCAGGTGGCCTTACACAGCTTCCTGGATGCTACAGAGGCCACGGCGCAGTGGCAAGTGGCCTGCAGCCTGCTGATGGAACTGCCATGGTGGAGGTAGCTGATGGCAGATGGCTGTGGAGTTTGCCATTGATTTTCCCAACCAAAAATCGACTTTTACCCAATAAATCCCAACAGAAAGCTTGGTATAGTGGGGAAAGATTTGGGGCTACTCTAGGCTTCATTGACCCTCAGTCTCACCAGATGGCAAGAGAGAGAGAGAGAGAGTTTGGAAACATGTGGGTAAATCTGATCGACTAATATGATGACCTGCCATGAAGTTGGGGGTTTGCAGGTCTACTCAGTCTATTCTCCTCTAAAAATCAGTAGTATTGTCAGGGTGGTCTATCTTATTTTTGGGATGGCTGGCGGTCTCAACTATGGCTGTCATGTTCTACCATATTTTGGAGGATGATCCGATCCCCAGCGACTAACTGGAAGAGGTTTCCTGCTAGCATGATTTTTAAGATTGAAACCATCAATCAGACAAATTTGATCATCAAACTTGAACTTTTATGGATGATTCAAGACTAAAAAAACTGACACAATCGAGATTTACTATATGATGATTTATCTTCAAAAATCTAATGATTAATGGTTAGTTGAATACAACAAAATGTCAAACATGCGGACATGAACCCAAACGCATGGGAATATAAACGGGATTAGACTAACAGAAAATTGGAAAGGATCGTGCAGCTGCAAGTGCAGTTGCTCTGGAGCATCATACCCCAACAACATTTACCAACTAAATCTGTGATCAAACGTTCGGAACTAGGAAAGGCTCAAAGACCATCGGAAAATGCGGTGGTTTCAACATGTTTCAACCGCCAAAGCCATCAACCACCTGCGAACCACCTGGGTCCAGGCTGCAGATCGGTTGTATCGGCCTCTCTGCTATGGCTGGAAGCTGTGACCAGGCCGGGAGGCCTGTGCCAGGACGGCCGGGTGATGTTGCTGATGTCTCCAACCGTTCTGTTATATATAATATTATATAATTTATAATATAGATTAATAAAGCTGTATATATGTATATACATGTGTGTGTGTGTGTTTGTTTGTTTGTTTGTGTGTGTGTATCTTATATATATATAGATATATATAGTTATATATATACACTGTATCAACATATATATATATATATATGAATATGATTATTATTATGATGATGATTGATGATGATGATTGATGATTGATGATTGATGATTGATGATTGATGATGATTGATGATTGATGATGATGATGATGATGATGATGATGATGATGATGATGATGATGATGTTGATGATGATGATGATGATGATGGTGATGATGGTGATGATGTTTATTTGTTTACCCTGTTGTTTTGGAACATCCTCTTGGGGAGTATCAAGTCTGCCTTTGTTTTCAGTTGTTTTCCCCTGAGTTTTGGGGGTTTCTCCGCTGTCCAGGACTCTTGCACCAGCTGGAAGACAAGTTCATCAAGGAGATCCCAGACCAGAGTGGCTGGACACTGCGATCGCAACCTCACAAAGACCTCATCATGACATGATAAGATCATAGTAAAGGGGCAGATCATCCAAAATTAACATGCTTCGCAAACTACCATAAGGTGGAATCATGCAAGAATTACTTCATTTCCGATTTGGGACGCATGTTAATTTGCCGAGATTTATGAATGCCATGGCATGTGTTATTCAGTGTGAAAGGTCTATGCTACAAGCAAGTTACATCACTTCTGAGGGGTTGAACCCCATAAATAGCCAACCTGGTTCATCAATCCAGCAGGTTTTATCCGTGGCTGAAAGCTTCGCCAGCCCTCCTGACTACTGATAAACACGTTCGTTGGCATGTCTTTTTTGATTGTGTTTGACCTATGGATACATTGGGCAATTGGGGGCAACTACTTTAGGCACGGCTTGGCCCTTGTTATGAACTAATTATCCGGAATAATTACCCTTGTAGTTTCTTGTGTGTACTCCAGCTTCCGGTGGTCAGAACTCAGCTTTAAGAAAAGTACCCAGATGTCGACATCCGAGCCATGCTTGCAATCTTTTGACAACTTGACCAATCCCCAGTCGGTTTATTCATCATTTTTTTTGGAGTTTCTTGGCGAGTTAACCCCCCTGCAGCATTCGTGGTAACTGGTTACGGGTTATCCCCAACCTTGATGCTGAATATCTGAATGTTTGTTGGTGAATCCCCCTAAACCATTAAAAAAATGCAGAATTACAGGCATTACAGGCTATAAATAATTGCTCAGCCCAAGCACTTGTTTTTCTCAGCCCAACCACTGAGCCCGTGGATGGCGATTCGTTCTTTCCAGAGAACCATCCAATGCTCATTCAATGTTACCCTCTGGTACTTCAACATGTCAACATGGTAATAGAAAACCCACATTTAGATTATTATCCCACTAAAACTTCCATTTATAGTGGATTTTCTCATATTGTCCCATGATTTTCCCATTAAAAGCTCCATTTCGTTCAGAGATGTCCCATTGCCAGCACCAAGGCCTCGAGGCCTCGGGGCCCAGCACTTTATCGCATTTTTTCGAGGCAGAGGAGCTGCTGCGCAGCAGTGAAAAGCACCTCGGGCCGTATTTTTGGCACCAGTGGATGCTGCTACGATCCACTTTACCATGGATGGTTAATGGTTAACCATAGGAAAACCATAGGAAAATGGTGGTTTAATGGGATCTAATGGGAGTTACCCTCTGGTTATGTCAAAATAGCTATTGAAAATGGCCATAGAAATAGTGGATTTTCCCATAAAAGATGGTGATTTTCCATAGCAAACTGTTAGTTTACCAGAGGGTATGTTGTGAGTGTTGAACTTAACTTGGAGATCATCATCCCAAAATATCCCAAACATAAAGTTATGTTGCTGTCTTAGTGAATGTTCAACATATAGCGTTTGGGAGGATCATTTGTGATGAAAATTATTGGCATGGGTGGGAACCACAAACCAGACATGTTTATACAGTATGGCATGTGCATATCTGGGTGGATTGTACGACACAGCTGGGTTAGGTTAGTTTTCCAGTGAGTAGCTTGGTTTGTCCCACTGAGAGTAGGGAATCAACACGCCACGACAAGCTTCCAGTGTTTAGTTTGTTCAATGCAGGATTATTTTTCCTTAGTCCAATTTTGTTGCAGTATGAATCCCATTTTGAAGGACATTTCATCCCAGTGTTCCTCCCAAGTTGTGCTTCTTAAAATCGAGCCTTTTGTTTGTTCAATTGTTGTGTTCTTAGTCCCATGTTTTTTTAAATATAGATGACGTTTATCTCTACTTCTGATGGTTGAAACCCTAGCCCAACAGTATCCCAACAGTTTACATCCATTTCTCTGGTGGTTTTCCATGGTTTTCCCATGGTTTTCAGGATCACCTTTGTGGGCCAGCTGCTGCTGGGGGCCATCTACCGCCCCGCCTTGGCTCGTTTGGCGGCCCTGACGCGCGTGCGCACGCGGGGGGGGCAGCTCTGGGAGCCCCTGCTGGAGCGGCAGTTTAGCCTAGGAGCGAGGCAGCTGACATGATCTGAGCTGTGGGTCGATGGTTAGGATTTTTGAGAGGAATGAACCATTTTTGATGGATCTATTCGGATGTTCAGCAGGAGTAATTTTCTTGGGTTTTGAGTTACCATCCCCATATGAGCCACCGATTTCAGCAACAAGAGTGACGATGGCACCATGTGGATTTGCTGGATGCATTTCGGCCACACACGGAAGGTATGATGGCTGATGACTAGGCATTGGGGTGTGAGACCATCCGTGTGCTCGTACTTCATCATGTTCACCTATGTTCACCGTCATGTTCACAATCTGTTCATCAACTTCATGTCTTAATCTCTATTGGTGGCTTTTGTTCATGTCTATTTTCGGATGTTTACTTCCATAATATTGCTCACCAAATACGTTCATCAACTTGGGGTGGCTTCTACTGAGTCTGGCATCCCATGAGTTTTGGGATGCCAGGAGCCACCTTCACTGGCTGTGTCTTGCAGCAGCTGGGCCTCAATGCCCTTGGCACCTGGAGCCCCTTGGCACGGCTGCTGCCACGTCGGCAGCTCCGTGGAGAGATCAGCCAGGCGCAGCTCGTTTCGTTGTGGGGTTTATAACGTAACCAGCGCAGACGAGTGGTAAATTTATGGCATTTTTTTGGAAAAAATCCAGATGACATCAGATGACCAAGCTTGTTTGGGGATGTTTTTTGAGGGACTCCAGGGACTTCTGCTATTGACCTGGCATGACAGCCCTGCAGGCGCCCACTGCCGAGTCACTCCCCGGTTTCCTCGCTACAGCTGTGGGCATCGGGGCCACTGCGCGTTGCCGCAGCGTGGGCTACGGCGCAGCGCCACAACCCCAACTGGCAGGGCGGCTGCGGCCCATCTTTGTGCAACATGATCGTTCCAGGATTGGGGGGGTGTCCATTCTCATGGGGGCCACGGGATGTGAAATGTGGGTACCCCCAATGCATAGAGTAAGATATCGCAGAAAGTATGTCAATGTCTCTCCATAATCTGTTTGGACGGGAGAGATGGGGCGCATCGCAACTTGGGGAAAGGCCGCGTGGAGAACCTGCCTGGACCCCCTGGCCAGGCACGCTGAGCGATTGGCGCTGCTCACTTTGATCCAGCAGTTTGCCCTGGTTTTGGGGGAGATGAATTGAAGTAATGCAGGCGCCGTTGGCTGGTCAATTTAAACACACACACACACAAACATATATCTAATCCAAACATACAAGCACAAACCACCCAAAAAGAGAGAAAAGAGAGAGATGAGATTCTCCAACTCTCAGCTTTTCTTCGGTTGGCAAAAGCTTTTCTTCGGTTGGCAAAATAGCCAGGGGTTGCAAATCTCAAGCGCCTCGCTTCGAATCCAACCAATGCCATTCCAAGATGTTTGATTTGGATGGATTTGATGTCACGTCTATTTGAAGGGAAGACCACTGCGGGTTGATTCTCCATGATCAAAAACAGCTGGTTCAACTTGATTCAACCATGTTCAATCAACCATGTTCAATCTAGTTTCTGTTGTCTTCACGATGTCTTGATTTAACTGTGTTAATACATGATTTTCTCTTCATCCGCTGGCCGCTTTTGTCAGGGTCACCAAGTGGACCAGAGTTTGTGGCTGGGCGGAAGTGCAGATATGCTCATGCAGCCTTGAGTAAACAGCAGGCATGGTCTTCAGGTGGTGATGCGCTTGTGGCTAACAGAACTCTTTGTTGTCACACCAAGAGGACAGGTTTGCAATGCCTTTCTCGTAATGCATGAGGTGACCAGTGGCACACATTGATGGAATTCGGATGGAAAAAGGGTGACATCGGCAAGTAGTGGTCAACTAAAAAACTACCACGTTTCGGGCTTTGACAGGCCTCAAAGAGATGGTGGTTACATTAGGTTTGGTACGTTAAGGCGGGTGTCGTCAGTTTTAATGCGTGTTTTAATGTCCAGTGCGTGCAGTTGTGCCGTACGACCAGCACTCAGATGGCACCTGATCCATGAAAAACATGCCAGCCAGAGATTTGTAGATTTTCTGGATTTTTCTGGCTGGTCCAATTTTCAGACATATACTATGTCATGCCACTCTATATATTCCACTATTTTTTGATCCTACTTGAGATGGTGAAGCCAGTTCGGGATTTCTGAAACATGCAGGAATCCTTGATTGTCCACGAGATGAGTACATTTAGATACAGAGAACAAGGGCCCTGATACCATTACTGGTTTGATGCTCTAAAGATCTTAATCAACGACTGGGTCCTTAAGAGCCTTTCCACCACTTGGAAAATCTCGCCTCCGGAACCTGATGGTGCTATAGCTGGGGCTCAAATCGACCGAGCTTTGCCCAAGATGTCTGATGTCCGTTTTTCTCCTTCAGCTCAGCTGGCCAATCTGTTGGATGACTCCATGTCCTTGGAAGAGGTGCAAAAGGCCGTTGGAAAGTGACTGGTTGATGGTTTCAGCAGGTTTTGGATTGTTGTTTAGTCTGGTTGTTTTTTTTTTCCCGGGCATCCTTCATTCCTGCGTGAGACATCCGGTGTGGTCTCAATTCGTTTTCGGTGGCCCTGGCGTCAGCCTGTTTGATCATGTTTCCCAACTGCTACTTAATAGAGCCTGAAAAAATCGAAAGCCTCAATAGTCAGGCCTTTTCCTCGGAGGTGGTTATTTTCCGCATCAACAAAAAAACTGAGAAGCGACACCTTTTTGGTCAAGAGTTAGATTCGCAGGTGAAGATTCATAGGATGTCCAGACATGTCCAGGATTTGAGGGTTGAAGTGCCAGGTTTGTGGATTTCTCTCCCAAGCAGATCTCCTCCTTCCTAAGCCAACTGTCCAAGCTGGGGCGGCCCTTAGCAGCCTGGAATGCCGTGCGGAGTTACTTGGTGTGGCTTTGGAGGGAGCAGAAACTCATGGAACATGGAGGAAAAAGGGTGGAGAATGGTGGATATTTAACTTTCCAAAAATAGATAAAGATAGAGAGATAGATAGATATAGAGTTAATTGGCCAAACTTGGGATTGAACCCAGCAGAACATGCGGATTTGGCAAGAATAAAGAAACAGAGGATGTTTTCACCAGGGTAACCTCACTGAAAGATTCTCAGGTGTTACATCTGGAAAAGCGATAGGGGTCAAGTTCATCCTCAAACCTAGGATTTCTTGGGTTTTACTGTTCTACATGCCAAAAAACATCCAACAACCACAAACATGATTACATAAACATTATTGGAAGTTCAACGCCGCAAAAAATCAAGGTTGAAGTTCTCTTGCGCAATGTTTCTTTCTGATTGCTGTGGGCACCTCCCGGTCTCAGGTTTCGAAAAGCTTCGGGTATCTGGGCAGAGAGTTGTCCCCTGCTTGTTTGGATCACTTTGGAAAATCACCCCTGTTTCTTCTTCCCTCTGGCAGTCAAGTTTGCAATCATCCCATGTAATTGTCCATGAAATAATCCTCGGCCTCGGCCCCAAAAAACAGGTATCAAAGCAATTCAACACATATTTTATCGCTGTAACCCCCCAAGAATCCCGGAAAACAAGTTGGCAAACAAAATTCCCAAACAACTCATCCCCAGGTCTCTTTGAACCAGATCCATCAGAACATCCTCCTAGCCTCCCTGGGGCGTAGCCACCACTGGTCCCTGGCGCTGCATCTGCTGGGCCCCGGCAGCGATGCGGTGGCTGTCAGCTCGGTCATGGAGGCAGTGGCGACCTGCAGGTGGCAGCTGGCAGTGGAGCTGCTCCTGGGTTACTGAAAGGTGGGAGAGGCGAAGAGATAACCAAAATATGCCAAAACGTGCCAAATATATACATATATACATATAATATATACATTATATATATAATATATATGATATATATATATATATAATATATATATATATTAAAGGTGACAATTTCCAGCCGGCATCAGCTGCCAGTAGTGTTTTCTGTCAGAATACGGAGCCGAAAAACTTCAGCCATCAACCAGCCAACTCAACTTTTGGCATGTTCATTACATGTACAATCCAAATCGTAACATGGACGCAAAAAAAATATGCTTCAACCCTGCCAACTTGCAACAATTCTTTGGATATGGGATACCTTAATATCATCTGGACCAAAAACAGAATTCTATTAAAAAATAACTAGAGTATGTTTTGTTTTCTCCATATCCCCTGTATCAAGACTATTTGGAAGGTTTCAGCGGAGAGATTTTAAACACTGCATGCGTTTCACTTGGCAACCGGTGGTCCAAAGTGGGGTCCCGGGGAAGAACCATTATCAATTATGAGCAATTATTAATGCAATGTCACATTCCAATCTACAGGGTGATAAATTTCAAGATTCCATCAAGGGAAAGAATTACCCAAGAAAATATGATGTGAGAAGATGCATTTCATCAATCAATAGGTGTTCATGCTATTTGCCCGGAAGAGCACCACCAACTTTCCATCTCCTCCCAACAAACTTTAAGACACAGTCTCTGCTGGCAGGCTGTTTCCGAAACTGTTGCTGTTCGGGCCCCGAAAGGGACATGAATGGAACCATGTTGAATTTCTAGGTTCCCACAGTGAAAAATCACTTCGAAACTCCATCTTAGGGTTTTTACATGTTTTTACCCATAATCCTATACCGTACCGTAATCCGTAATCAGATTATCCAGCCGTAACGAATCCGTAATTTGAATGAAAAATGCCCATAATTTACCCGTCATGATTTGAAAAAAAGTGTTTGATTCGTAGTTTCGCAATTACCCATAATCTATCATAACCAAAGCATAATTGCAAAACATGAAAATACCCGTAATTTTCCGTAACCGTAATCAAAATATCAAAGCATAATTTACCCATAAAAGTCTGTAATTTACCCATAAGTGAATTACGGGTAAATTTGTGAAATAGATATGTTTTTCTCAGCGAAATTTATGTTACTTTTGGTCGGGATTTTCACGTTGTTGTTCCGGAAATTGATTGCTCTCCCCAGGGTCCGAGCTTTTCCACCGCATGATGCTGGAGGTGAAATTCAATGGGGAAAGCGTACGTACATGTTGCAATCCAATGATGTTTGGAACTCAAATGGATGAAAATACAGTGGGAAAAACTTCCCGCCACTCAGAAGAGTAAAATATGAGGAAAACCAGCCTACGGGCTCTTCAACAGTATTTAGTTGCAGCATATGCTGCCTTTGCGAAGGCAAAGTTGCTTGGCTAGAAAAAAGGCTGTATTTGCTGGGTCCACAGGGATTTGGCTCCATACCATTGGCTGTTGGAGCAAGTTGGTATTGCGCGTGATGCCTGGTCATGTGTTGAATCTGTCATGAATGGAATCAACGACCTTCCTTTTCTGGGTGTAAGTTAAGTTTCCCGATGGACCCAAAACGTAAAACCATGTTTGTTTAAAAAAAGAAAAACCGATGTTTTTTTCATCTACCCAGAAAAAAGAAGGTATTTGATTCCGAGGGTAAGTATACAGATTTATATGGCATTTTAATACATGCTGCTTGTAGCATTGCCGTGTGTGTGTGTGTAGGTGACTGGGGTTGCTAGATTCTCATTTAAAGTATGTCTGATAATATATTCTTATTCAAATCCTGCATCATGAGGAGTCTCATGGCAGAGAGGAAGCACAAAAAACTGTCAACCCAAGAAAACATCTCGAACTAATCTCTGGTTTTGCGCTTGCAGCACTTGCAGTCATGGGGGTTGAAAAGCTTGCTGCTTTGAAATGTTAACACATTTAATTTCTAAGGTGAACGACAAACCATACATACCCAGTGAGTTGACATTCCGAGATCTGTACAAGCCTCAAACCATGCTTCATTTGGGTTTATCTCTGGGTGTACCGCATCATTTGGCATGATCAACGCTAATGAGCTTAATATAGTGTTTATACAATATTATACAATATTTATCGGGGGCCAATCCTTTTGCCATTTAAGGGTTCGCCCTTCTCAGGTTTAACTCGGCACAGCGAAAGAAGATCACTCCAGATGTGGTCATGGTCAGCAGTTTGATCAAAGCCTGTGATGCTGGCAGAAACTGGCACGGCGCAGTGCATCTTCTAGAATTAATGCCTGTCTGGCAATTGCACCCTGGCTGCTTGATGGTGGGTCCGTGCAAGGTGATCCGGCTTAGATATTAGCAAGTAATTGTAATCTGTTTCGGAACCTGATGTAGGAAATAACATGCAATTACAGCACATTGTACAGAAAATCGTTGATTGACTTAGCCCGTTGATCAATTTGGCTATTATTGAAATTCAAGTCCACAATTTGCGCACCCTCAATTTGCAAAAAAAAACTTCAAGATGTTTCAAGGCCCTCCTCCAACTTCATCGCCATTTTCCACTTCACAGCTGCCTCTTTGCCCGCCCAAATCCACCCAAATTCTCCAAGGCGAAGCAACCAAATCACTTACACCAACATCCTAAGTGCCTGCAGCAGTTGTGGCCAGTGGCCCTCCGCCCTCTCCTTGCTGTCCGGCATGCCGCGTGCCACCGTGCCGCCCAACGTCCACAGCGCCACGGCCGCCCTGTGCGCCTATGAGATGTCGGGGCAGTGGCGGGGCGCCATGGAGCTCTTGAGGCGTTTAGGCGCCTGGTGCTGGGGTGGTGCCTACATTTCAAATGGAAAGATGGAGTTCTTACCGGTGAAATGACACTTTCAAAAAGTGTGTCGCAAGATGTTCCAAGTAAGAATTTGATGTTGACCAGAGTACAGTAAGTGGTAAATTTGCCCTATGAATACCGGTTCCGTTTGCCGCAGAAATGCCACGAGGCGATTTTGACGTTTATCCCAACACAGCCACTTACAACGCTGTCATCAAGGTCGGACAGGGCGTTGGTTGGATGATCAATGTGAAAGTTGCCATGGCAGTCAAGCAACACTCCATATATGTGAAATACTGCCGCAGTTAACTAGTGAAGTGTGTTACAAGATGAAACATAGACAACATATTTTTTGGAGGATCGAATTATCCTTTGCTATTTGCTTGGTGTTTTACATTCTTCAAGTCTGTTGAAATGGGCTAGCTCTTATGTATTATTTATTTGTATATTTATTTATCAATTGATAACACCCCGGGCTATTCCATTCCGCTGGGTGTGTAAGGTCTGTAGCGTGGCTGTGCAGTGGCAAGTTGCCATTGGCCTTTACGACGAAATGTGCACAGCCAAGCAGGACCATGTGTGGCCCAATGCATTGACGTTGCTCGATGTCAGTCACGGGAGCTGCTGTTCTTGAGAGTTGTTGCAACATCTTGCAATGCTGGTGGTAAAGCTGGTTGATGCTTCCTGTTTTGGTATTTCTATGAGTACATTGTAGGCACCTCAAATGCACATGTAGAATAATTAGTTTCCTGTCTATTTGGATGTATGGGCTAAAAACTACTAGTAGCTTTGGCGGATTGTCTATAGGTACCAAAACGATCTTCCAAGAAGCTATCCATGCAACAATCATTGAATGTTTAGAGTGTAGGTTCGGCTTGGGCAAAGCGCAAACGTTTGAATTTTTCCCCTGGTTTGTCGAGCTGAGCATGGGCCTGCCGAGGTTGACTTCCTTGTTGTCATGCATAGGCAACTCGCAGGAGTGGCAGCAAGCCTGTGCCCTGGTGGCTGCGCAGTCAAAGGGACATCTTCATCCGATCACGTGGCAGCTCGGCATGCTCGCCCGCAGAAATTCTGCCTTGGAAATCTTGCAGTGCTGATATCCAAACATGACTTAGGCAACTATGCGGCATGAGTTTGTTATTTACCTGCACCAGGTCGAAGAAATTCCAAAGAATCCTTTCCGAGAAACGAACACACAACAGACTGTGGAATCTTAAAGGCACAATTTGACATTGAAAATGTCTGAGCAATCCCTTAGATTTTGAACTGTCAAGGCCATCGTACTGAGGGCACATTCCAGGGTGGGATGGAGTCTGAAGGTCCGGACTCCCACTGTCTTAAAGGTCATCATTTGAGATATTTGAGCCATTTGGAATCAGTATGTGTTTTTGGACCAAAAACGCCAATGCAGAAGCTGTGTAACTGCAATAGGTCAAGTTTCTCAGTGCTGTCGCTGTCAGGAACAGTTTTGTCAATGCTCTGTCATTGGGATGGCAGTGGGAATCAGCCTTGGATGCTCTCTTTGCACCCCGTGGTCCTCGTGGTCCTCGTGGTTTTGGGGCGTTGATGGATTCCACCGGCTTCCATTCGGTGATTCGGGCAGCTGATGCAGTGTCTCACTGGCAACTGGCAATTGGTTTATTGGGAGAGACTTGGCGTGATGGCTGGAAGGATCCTGACAAGCAGAGAGAGAGAGAGAGAAAGAAAGAAATCAAGGAAGGAAGAGAGAACGAACTTGAGGAATAAACATTAATTTCATTTAATTTCAGTTTTATTATTTATTACGAGGAATGTATATACATGAACATTCCAGAATTCATCCCAGAATTTCCAAAAACCGACTCCAATCAATTCTCAGATCTTTGTTTGGTACACCCTGTCGGGTGGTCTCCACCCCCGGGGGTCCATAGGAAATGCAGTCGAATCGCGTCCCGCCGTGCTTGTTGTGCTGTTCCTCTGCGATGCGAGCATGCAGAAAGGAATGGAAGGTGGGACTCAACGGTCATCAGCCGTGCGGCCATCAGGAGATACTGTAGAGTCTACAGGGCAAGTGATATCAAGTAATTGGGGATTGAACCAGCAAAAGTGACACTCATAGCAAAGGGTATCATGTAAGCATGCACTATTGAGTCTATCTAATTGGAGATCGAGTCACATGCATTGGCGAACAGGATGATTTAATATAGAAAACTTCCTGACAGGTGGTATGAATTACATGTCAATGTACACCCAGGGGACCGCAGCACTCAAACGCAATGTTTATGGAAACCCATGAAAAGATAGGTACCAGAGCAAGATCACCATGTTTACCATCAAAATCCTCAAGCCTTCAACTAAAACATCCAGTTTTGACCATTTGAACCCCATATTATGTTCTTCTGCCTTCGCCATACCCTCCAGTAAACTATACGGAAAATGGATCACTTATTTTCCATAGTCATGTTAGTTCACCAGAGGGTAACCCCATGAAATTCCATTCAATACCAATTTAAAAATCTCCAATCACCATTTCCATTGGTTGAACCCCCATGTGAAATCCCATATGTTTAACCCATGTTTAACCCATGTTCTAAGCCATGAAATAACACCGTGGAATACCGTGGAACTGATGCTGAAATCCCCATCCGTCAGGTGGCCCTGGAACTGTTGGACTCCCTGCCCTTTTCGCGTTTGGCCGCGGACGCCCAAAGTTGCACCGCCTTGCTGACGGCCTGCGGCCAGGCGGTGGCCTGGGAAGTGGCGCTGGAGACTGGGCTGGGAGATGTTGGGGGGTTATGTCATTTTGATATATGATATATATATATACATATTTATATATATACACATATATATATATATGTGTATATGTAGATGATAGATAGATTATGTAATTTTATATGTTTTTTTAATGATTGTATAATTGGAAAATTAAATATATGATTTATATTAATTTGTAATATATATATATATATATATATCAATATGGTTAGCACAATTATCATTTTCCCAACATTGTAATTATCCGAATATATGTGAATTGGGATGACGATATCTATATTGGACGATCATTTTGATAATCATATATAGTTATTGTTCAATGATGAAGGAAGACAACTTACATATTCATGAGAATAACTACAGAATATGATTCTTTACGACAAGTAATGATTATCATCATCATTAAAATCAATCATCATCTAAATAAAGAACAATTTTTAGCGCAGGGAATTGTGTCATCCAATTTGTCATTGTGATGTCTAGCCAGGCATGTTATTGCATCCTCACCCCCTGTGGCGACCTGTCGCAAGCTGTCATTTGCGCCATGAAACTCAGGACTTGGCAACGGAGATCCCTGAGTGCATGAACTCCATCAGCTGCAGCGCTCTATGCAGCACCTTTTCTGCTGCTGGGATGTGGCACCTCACCTTTCAGCTGCTGGACGAGATGTTGGACAGCAAGCTCCACAGCTTTTCAGAGCCGCTCGGCAGATGCACAGCCTGGCGGTTACCGTTTGAGCAAAGCCACACACAGTAGCATCCGCTAGTCACGAGTACTGTAATTGCATGTAATAACGTCATGTAATTGCTGCAATCCCATGTCTTGAAATTGTGGATACCCGTCAAAATGTGGGTAAACACCCTCACTGTCTCTCACTCAACAAGATGCTGTTATTCCCTTTATATATATAGCTCCAATGATCTCCAACGCGTTCTTTTCTTGAGAAAAAAATGAAAGGAACATTTACAGGAGAGCCTTTGATTGACAGGTAAAATAGCGTAGTCTTTCAATCATCATGTTTCTGTTCGTCATTAGCAATATTACAATGGTCCCCAAATCACACCAATTTATTTCCCCTTGGTTTGTCGATTGTTAATTATTCACCATTATTAATCCCTATCAACCACCATTCATCCCTATCAACCATGAAATTAATCCCTATCAACCACCATTCATCCCCATTAATCCCTATTGATCCCTATTAATCCATATTAAACCATTAAATTAATCCCATTAATCCCCATCCCATATTAACCACTTGTCCATCCAACCTGTCATCATGGCCGGGACGAACTGCAGGTCGAAGTATGATCACCTCGTCCAGGCCGGCAGCTCGCTGGACGTCTTCAAGCACTCGGTGCTGGCCCCTCGGTGCTGGCCATAGATGATTTATCCATGTTTATCCCATTATTTCTAGGGTTTCAACTTTTTTAACCATCCTTTTGGTGGTGTAGGATTTCTCAACCATCCACAGTAGTTCATCATATATGTTGTTTTTCGTTTTGTTTCTCCATGTTTTCCGTTTTGTTTATTTGTGGTTCATGTGTTTTTCAATGTTTTTCCATGTATGTTTCGTCATATTTCTTGTTGGTGGTGTTTGTTTCATGTTAATTCTTCTGTTCCATGTGTTTTTCATCATATTTCTGGTTCGTGGTGAAACAGGGAGATAGAGAGAGATGAAATGTACCTACATATTTGATTTGTTTGCGTATTTTTGGGAAAGCTGAATGTGACTTGACCGCAAATGATGATGAGGAAGAGAAGCTACCCACGAATTTCTGATTCGGGAGTTCTATTGATTCTATTGTATTCTAGTCTATTCTATTCTAGCATAGAATAATATTAATTCTTTATAATAGTTATACTATATTATATAATATCATATTACTACATTATTTTATCATATCATTGCACATCGTATATAATTTGCGGGCATTTATCACATGGGGAGCAGCTGGTGATGGCCAAAAGAAGAGTTTCTAAATGTCCGTGAGCACCAAGCTTCAACGGGGCCTCGCATCAGCTGAGGTTCTATTCCTCCAGGACTTTTGTGCCGATCCTGAACCGTTTGTTTTCATCGATAGCCACGCTGGCCGGGGCCTTTACGCCTTGGATGGAGGCCTGCTGATCTTCCACCCTGGCCTTGCGCAGTATAGATTGATTTGAATGAACCAAACCCAGAAGGTCATCCAATGTGCGTTTCTCCATAAGAAGTGCTTCCACTGCCTTCAGGCCGAAAGAACTTCCAGCGCGGCATTCAGTTGCTACAGCAATGCACCGTGGATCCATTGCCTGGCCCTAAGAAGCCGCGAGCGGAACTTGGGCACCTGGCTCACCCTTCCAAATGGGAGTATGTTTGGTAGCTAGTTTATTCCTTCTAAGGCCTTGCAGTTGATGTTTTTTCTGCAGAAACACATGGTCCAGTGAGGAAACTGATGCATTTTAAAGGCTCAAACATTGAGGCTATCAGCTTGACGCAGTTGGTTGAAACCTTTATTTTCTCATTCCAATTGTCTCATTCTTTGTGAAACTCACGTTGTTTACGGCCATCGAGAGTCTGGCCAAAAGAGTGGACAGTGGACGTGGAGCTCTCTCAACAGATGTATAGGTCAAGATTGGGACATGACCTGCGAGCAAGGGAGCCCCGATTTGTGCAAAGGTGACTGGTAATTCATAAATGCAACATTATGGCACATTGGCACATTATCTGATTGGTATTTTCATTGGATGGGTGCTGCATACTGTAATTGAAAGCTATTGGAGACCTATGGCACTATGGGGTGTCCCATTTTCATGGCACTTCGGCACGAGGCCCTCGAGGCCCTCGAGTCCCCTGGCGCAGTACCTCCGGGCGGCCGCCCGGACGGGACCGGGCCACTACCCGGGCTCAGCAGCCTTGGCAGCCAGCTGGCTGCGGCCGCAGGACAGGGCTATGTGACTTGGCTACAAACCATCCAAGTCACGGCTGACTATGACTTAGTATTGAAAGCCCATGGGGGGTAAAATGGATCCCCATTGTTGAAGAAAACCCCATGTGGAGGAGTATGATATAACATGATATAACTATACGTCGATCTATCGAATCTATTGTTGAGTTATTGTCGTAGAGGATTTCACTGTTCTATCTTTTTAGGGGGTACTGTATCCATATTTGCGCCCATCTACAAAATTCATCACATAGACACCGAAGAACCAGAAATGTTGGGTAAATGAAAGTCTTCTTATGAATGGGTTGGTTTAAGGGAAATCTACAGGAAACAATGTTTTTCCCCACCAAATATGAAGTTTTCCTGTAGATTTTCCCTTAAACCAATCCAATGATCTTAGTGCGCCATGTTGGCATTGACAAGACAAGCAAGGCTCTTCGAGATCTCCAGGGCGATGTCCACAGAATTGGCTCAGAACATTGCTGGGCTGCAGAGCGGTGCATCAGTGCAGGTGGCTTCTTCTGATTTTTTTGGGGGTTAGGGATGCCCCATTGAATATCCTACAATTGCTATTTTATATTATCATGGGCCATTGGGGGTTTCCTTTGATTTCATGGGATTTCATGGGGTGTCAACGATTTGAGCTGGGTGTTTTGAAAATGAGGCATACCACCGACTAGCACCCCAAACTAGCCAATTAGAACATGATGATAAAACAATAGTATAAACCACTTGATTTGAGGGGTACTGTGTTTTCAGACAAATCCAACATATTTTGGAAGAGTCCGACATCAGGATGTCCAAACTGGGTGTTTGAAATTCTTGTCATGGTATGTGGGAGTTATGTCCTGGTTCATTCCTGAGCTCAAGGAACATTCCGGTGCTGGATCGTGGTTTCGCATCCCAGTACCGGATACATAGTATAGAGTCTAGAGATGTATAAAAGGTTCATTATTGGGTATATGGTATACCATGGTATACCGGTATTTGGGAGGCTAGTTGACGGGATGGTTTATTATTGGATATTATTGGGCTTGCCACATTAGTGGCCTCATTTGTGTTTCCACTCATTTTGTGTTTCGTTTCCCTTCATGCCAGGGAGCGATAGACCCACCATACTGTACAGGGCTAAAGACTCCAAGTCGGTTCCAAAAGACGGCTGGCTGCAATCCTGCTGCTAAGATCATGACAAGTCGTAGCTGCTATTAGCTGCTCAATCATATTCTAGCAAGGAGCCCCCCCAAAAGGAGCCCCCCCAGGAATTTGCCATTAAATGCCTCTTATTTGTAAAAATGTCATTTAAGGGATTTTAAGGGACATTTAAAGGAAATTAAGGGAAAATAAGGTGAATTTAGTGGCAAATGGGTAATGGTCCTTGGGTTGACTTTGAAATCTCAAAAGGTGTTATCTTGAAGATATCCCATTCTCTTGGGGAAGGTAAGTTCCAAAGTATAAGTCGGTGCATCTTAAATACGGTTGTTTTTGAAACAGCTTCTAAGGCTTCAGCAATGACGCAAATAAAGTGTTTTCCTACAAGTTACGATGAACTCAGTAGCAAGTGTGTGGTGGTCCGTTGCCTTCATTTGAACTTTCACCCCCTCAAGAGGCACCACAATATGTAAGGGTGAAATTTCACTTGAAAAGTGAACTTAGCCAAAATTAGTTTGATGTTGGTTACAATCGTATTTGAATTCCCGAGCGCACTCCGAAGCACTCCCCAAAATTAGACAAATGGTCGACTTTTCGCCCTTGGCGATGCGGGAAGTTCAGCGTCCAGCACGCCTGCCACGACCACGACCCCGACCGCCCTCAGAAGCCTTTGACTTCGGGACAGCCGCTTTGGGTGCAGCAGCAATTTTTGCTGCTGTTTTGGCCTTGGCCTTGGCCTTCGCTTTCCCTTTCGCTTGTGGTAGGAGTCCTGTATTCTCATCGAATTTCGCAACTTTCTCAGCGATCTGTTCTTTGGTTGGCCTTAGTTATTTTTTTGGGGGCGGCAATGCTGCCACATATTTACAAACACATGTTTGGGTTAAAAGGTAGCAAGCTTGATTGAAAAAAAAATCATGTCAAAACAATGCGCGCTATTCAAAAAATCTAGCGCCTATGACCGGCTGATCCACTGACATGCTCTCGACATTAGGAGGGATCTATGGAACCAGACTAGCTCGTAATGTACCAAGCGAGTTGCATTCGCTCATGATGGGCAGGTTCAAAATAAAGGTGCTTGGCCCAAAGAAAGTCCAGGCATTCCACTAACGCGTCAACTTCTGACAAGTTCCGAACAGGGCCATTCCAGGTGGCTGCGCGTGATAGCCTATAGCCATCGACATCTCCTGAGCGAGGGGCACAGCCAAATATTGTTTTCGTTATACCAATTCCACCTTTAGAAAAGACAGCCCTTAAAGTGGTTATGCCATGTAAAAGGGATTCAAATATATTATGATACGCTGCTCTGTGGGGATAAGGGTACCCAAAAACAAACAAGAAACCAGTACAAAAACATGCCCTTAATGAAAGTGAATGGTCCAGGATAGCCAGCTTGGTACCTCCGTAGCAAAGGGTTTCTTGAACAGTAGATACCAGGCCCGGGTGGCAGCAATTCTTTGAGCTCTGCTGGGGTGAACGTTTCTTGATCTTTCCTGTTCAAAACAGGCATCCGTCCTGCCTTCTCCATGTCGTTTTCAACTACTTCCTGATTCAGCGCTGTTTGATAAACATGTTTGAAATCACGCTCACCCTCTTCTCCAAGTTCTTTCACTGCCTCAATTATTTCTCGCGGGCACCGCACTGTGCGGTTGAATTTTCCATGCATAGCATCCAACATGCGATCCTTTTCTTTTTGTGACTCCCCAGGATAGAGAAAATTGATCAATCCTTTGCAGTAGTCTTCTTTGATTATGTTTCCTTTTGCACCCGAGCCTTCTTTCGGGTTTGGCATGGGGAAAAGCAGCTTCTCTTGTATTGATTTTAAATGTTCCACTGTCAAGAAAACTCCAAGTTTCACGGCTGATGCCAGCAACGGCTGCGGGCATGCGGTAATCTCCCAAGCAGCTCCAGCCCCACGCAAAGTCTCTGGTAGTTGCCTTGGCAAACCAACCTGGTGGGGATGAATTCCCACTGGTCAGACCCGACTAACTCCTTGTTCATCATCCAAACAGGAAATTTGCCCACAACATCCTTGGAAGGGATCAAATATTCCTGCAGGGTGGATCAAATGAGTCAATGTGGAGAATTCAATGTTTATTTGAACACCGCGGAAAGTAACAAGAAACCTTCGCAGTCTGAAACAATTAGTGGGGTCACAGTGGTTTAAAATAACCTTGTACTTCTTGAACACCCGCAAAATATTGAATCACATCCCCAGAATCATTGGTTTTTAGGAAACAATACCATAATACTCATTGTTGACACCTTTCATTATTGTACCCCAGTCCTTGTCTCCGACAACCGAACGTTTCAAGGGAAACCCCAGAGCTGCCCATGTTTGAAAGCCCAAGCTGATGTAAAACTTCCCGTGTGGATTTCGGTAGATTCTTTGCTTCAAGAGGAAAACTCCTTTCACAGGGAATGCTGATAATCAGGTTGAAACTTACCTTACTTCCAAGCAGCAACGGTGGGAAACATGAGATTATAATTAGTGAAGTGGTCCAGTCCGCCGGCCTGCCGGCGTGTCTGATTGGAAGGTGTTGTTCTTGTTTCTGTTCTTGGCTTGTACTTGTTCCTTTGTTCTCTTGCTGCGCGTTTTTGCTTCGTCTGAATCAAGGTCACCCCCTCTCCGTCCCCCCCTCCCCCCTCCCCTTCCAAGTGCTACTAGTACGAGGGCGAGTACGAGTACTGCTACTACTACTACGACCCCTCCTACTACCACTCCTACTGCTACTCCTGCTCCTACTCCTACCCTTACTCCTACGCCTACTCCGACTCCTCTACTCCTCTACTCCTTCCTCCCTTCTTCCCCAAGTACTACACTGGTAATGCCGATAGCTGATGACACTGCCTACAGCATTACTGTCGTCTACAGGTACTCGTCGCAGGACGCACACAGTACTGATCGACCAGTACTCATTTGGTATTTGTCCATTGGTTGTTCAAGGGCGCGCTTGCTACTCAAGTTGCTTCTGATCTACACCTCCGTCTTCGTCTCTTCTTCTCTCAGGCTTCCACCTAGCGTGCACGTCAACCTCCCTTGGGGCACTCTCTCCCCTATATATATTTCCTTCCATGCAGCGAGGGGCTCATACATAGTACCTGGCGCTACTTTGCTGGGGGCGGTACCAATTTGGTATACGGTCACAGCAGACCTTGCTACACAAGCCGCTTCCGTTTTACGGCTTCGTCTTCTTTTCTTATTCTTCTTTTCTTCTTATTCATCTTATTCTTCTTGTTTTTCTTATTCTTCTTATTCATCTTCTTCTTCTTCTTCTTCTTTTCTCTTCTGCTCTCTCGCGGGCTTCCACCTAGAATGCACATCAAACTCCCTTGGGGCCACCTCTCTATGGCCGGCGGGCTTGCGGAAGGCAATTAAAAATGTTGGTATTTCCTATTTAATAGTATTTCTTGATCGTTGGGATATACAATATAATGTATGCAAATAAAAAAATAGATAGATAGACAGATAAATAGATAAATATAATATACACGCAAGGATGTTTCAAATATATTGTGATATACCGTTGGTTTGTGAGACCCAGAACCTGACCACGCCATTGGCGCTGCAACGAAATCAGACGCAGAATTGGCCAACACCCACGCTGTGGCCGCCGCAGACTTTTGATTGGCTTCAGTTCCTGCCTTTCGACCAATTGTCTTCAAATTTGCAATGGTGAACCCCAATTTTTTCGGTAGCGCAAAAGAACTTGGAATTGTGAAGACCTTGTTGCTGGAATCATTCTTGGCATCAAGGGGGTCTGAAAAACCATGCATCCCCATTCCCTGGACAAAGTCATCACAAGTGGGCTCCAAACGGGGCCAACCCAACTCCACATGTTGCGGAACGCACGTCAAGTAAAAGTACTTGAGCCACCTCAGACAATCCAGCTTGTTTTTTTTCAGGCTTGAAAATAAAAACGTTAGAATATGTCACGCTAATCAAACCGTATTATAACAAACAATGACCCATAGTACAGGAAATACTTTTATTTTCTAGCTGAAGCACTTTGTCATCCGCAGGTTTCTCGCCATTCGTTTCACCAAATCAGCTAGATGAGAGAAGGAGTCTTCTAGGAAATGCTTCGTATTTGCTGGTGAAGCAAACATGCAGAAGGCTAGTTTCCTGAGCTCTTCATCTTCCCAATCCCACCCAGAATCTTCTAGCATCTTGTAAGATTCTCGGGCGATCTGACCGCGGTGCCATGCCATGTCTGCCATGCAGCGGTCCAGGGCTGCCCGAACTGACCCTGGCGTGCCTGGGTTTTCTAATGCTTTCTCAGCGTTCAAGACTGCGTTCCACAAAGCGCGCATGTATAGAACACCCTTTGCTCGCTGCTCCCTGTTTTCGTGGAAAATGGCACAGAGGTGGTTGGGAAGGCAAACCGAATAGATAATTTGCGACCAGCAACGGGCACTGCTGATCTCAATGCAAAGAGAAACGTATTTCTTCAGAGTTTCGAGCTGTTGCAGTAGCTGTGGGTTTTCCTCTACATGCCTGTCCAACAATACGTTATCCCCTGGGTGTGGCAAGGTAATGTGGAGTTTTCTCATGATTTCTGGATCTTGGATTGACATCATAGTGCGCACCACTGTTTCGAACCACATGCCCTTTGCTCTTGCTGCCCTCCACTGCAAAGTAGGGACCTGCTCATCCCCATGCATGTCCCAAAATCATGGGTCCCTATCCCCCTGTTTATTTTTCCGTGATCCCAAAAAGCATAGTTGGGAAAAACGTTCAAGATTGAAATTGACTGAATGGTCGCTTTTTTTTTTTGCATTTTTAAAACCCTTGTCCTGGCCAGCTTTGTGTGTTTTCAAAGTCTGCTCATAGTCTGAAAGCAACGAGTGGGATGCCCAGAACATCACTTTCAACTCAAGAGGAAGGAAAGGGTCCTGATGATAGTGGTATGCCATCTGTACCTTGTTCTCAAAACGAGCTTTAACTTTTTCGAGTTCCTTTCGGTTCTGAGGACGCTCGTTGTCCACCACTGCGTCATCGTTCCCGTCCTCCTGGTCATGAGAAGGAGCTGCTTGTTCCTGAGCGTTAAGCGTGGGACCGTGTCGGGGGAAGACTATGGCTGAACACCTGTAACGATTTAGTTTTCCAAAATTCCTTACGGAAGGTTAAGAGTTGAGATGACCGAAGGGAAATTCGACATGGCAAACACAAGTATTGCAACTTTAGGGTCATGTCGGCGTCGCCCCGTTTTGAGATTCATTCTCATGAGCTTTTCAAGCAGTGCTGTGTCCAAGCTCCAATCCAAAGCAATATGGTACAGGGCAATGATGGATTGGAACCACGATTTGTTCTTTGCCTGGGTTTTGGGTCAGCTGCGAGCTTGACAACTTTGGGTCTGGAAAAGAGAAAGAAAGAAGGTAAACAACTTTGGATCTTCCAATGGGGTGCACTGTAGTTGGGCCGAACCAGCAAGGATGCAGCAAATAGTCAGATCTTGAAAAGAACAGTGTGTTTCCCCAATGTTGATAATGGTAGTAACAACTCGATCCACTCCACGCATTTCTTGAAACATCCACATTTTTTAATGGGCGCATTAAATACTATTCCGTTAAACCCAATCAATAACCCATAGAATCGATATAATCTATATATATATATGTGTGTGTAAAGCATGTATCCCTCATTTTTTTCGATAAACCCATGTAAATAGATCAATATATCAAAAGACCATGGATATCAATGGATGATTTTGAAATAACGGATAAAATCTAGACCCACATTTTGGATAGAATCATTCATGGTTTGCTGTTTAAATCTCCTATTCGTAGATGTTTCCAATTAAAACACCATTTACATAGGATTAGGCAGCCATGTTTGATGACACAGGGGGATAAACCAAGTTATCGTAAACCACCTGCTGGGAGGATCATTCCACTTAGTTCCGTCGGTTAGTAACCATGGACCATGATTTTTCAGATTCGTCCCCTTTGGGTTTCCCATCTAGATACATGGGTGAACTAGCCGTTTTCTAAGCCAAAGTCATGAACTAACCACTTGGGTGTTTCCGTAAATGGAGATAGCCAAATAGCTGGATATTTTTTTAAAGGGAAAATCCGAGAATAAAATGGATGATTCGGGGGTGCCCTTATTTTAGGAAGCCATCACTGTGCTGCACTATAGATCATATTGCCCATATATCAATTATGGTTATACTACGGTTATATGAAATATATGAATCATAAAAAACTATGGTTATAACCCATGTTAACCAGTTATTTAACTTAGTAAGTGGTTAAGAACCCTGGGTAGTATGCCTCCTAAGTAACAATAGGTGTTCCAATCTATACATGGATAAAGTAACTTTGATTATTAACCACTTCTTTTCTCCCTAAGATGACCCTCCAAGGTAGGCGAGTTCACGTGCACTCACACATTGAAATTGTTGCTGTTGTTGCTGGTGCTATTCTTCTTGCTGTTGTTGTTGTTGCTGCTGCTGTTGTTGGTGACGATCAAGTTGTCGTCGTTGTTGCTGCTGGTGTTGGTGTCGGTGTTGTTGTTGTTGTTGTTGTTGCTGGTGGTGGTGGTGGTGGTGGCGTTGGTGATGGAGGCGTTGGTGATGGTGGCGTTGGTGGTGGTGGTGGTGGTGTTGGTGTTGTTGTTGTTGTTGTTGTTGTTGTTGTTGTTGTTGTTGTTGTTGTTGTGGTCGTCGTCGTCGTCGTCGCCGACGTCGTCATCGTCGTCGTCGTCGATATTTGCTTTTTGCTTTTTGCTTTTGTGTTTTGTTGTTGTCGTTGCCGTTGCCGTTGCTGTTGCCATTGTTGTTGTTGTTGTTGTTGCTCTTGTTGTTGTTGTTGCTGCTGTTGTCTTTGCTTTTGTTGCTGCTGCAGTTGCTGGTGGTGGTGCTACTTGTGTTCTTTCTGCTGTCGTTGCCAGTGTCTTTGTCGGTGTTATTGTTCTTGTTCTGTTCTTCTTCTTCTTGTTGTTGCTGTTGCTGTTGAATTGTTTTTTCCGTTCTTTCTGGTGAAGCTGGTGTTGCTTGTGCTGCTAACAGATCTAAGGTTCCTGCTGCTGCTGCTGTTGTTGCTGTTGCCGTTGCTGTTTCTTGTTGGCTGTTGGCTGGCAGGCGTTGCTGTTTCTTGTTGGCTGTTGGCTGGCAGGCGTTGCTGGTTGCTTTTGGCTGTTGCTGGCTTTAGTCGGCCATTGTTGGCTGTTCTTTTTGTTTTTGCCCGTTGCGGAGTTTATGTGTTTGCCCTTATTAGTTTGCAGTTGGTGGTTTCCCTGTTTTTATTTGGTGTTGTTTTTCCTATTAATTGTCACCCTTGTCGTTCTTGCTCATGCTCTTCTTTGGCCACCGTTGTTGCCGACATGTCTGTCTGCATTGCGGTTGCCCTTGTGGTAGTGATGCTGTTCATCCTGCTTTGATTTCTGTTCAGAAATTGGGTCCTTGCTGTCACTGTAGCTAGTCGCGACCTACTGAACGATAACAAGTCTAGATGAGCTTACTGGTGGCTAGACAGTGCACAGTAAAGTTGGGTTAGTTGACTGAATGCATGTAATCTATTTATACCAGGATTCATTCACATAGGGAATACGTTGGTGTTTCGATCAATGTTGTGAGTGAGCTTGGCCCCGGGCGACTCTTCACGGTATCAAATACTGACAAATATTCTCAAACCAGAGGCGCAAAAATGGTAAAGTGCTTGACTGCTGACAGTTCAGGGATATCGGAAGAAGTTTCTGGCACTGGCAACCCAGATTCTCCGTAGCGGTCATACAGCATGGCCTCTTGAAGTTCTTGAAACTCTGACGATGTAATCTCCCTGGCTAGCAACTCTGCAGCTTCCTGCTTGGAAAAAAGGTGGTGGCCAGACATGAAAGGCCCATGGCTTGTTTGGGACAAAACTATCCCAAGAAGTAAGGCCGGTTGAAGCTCTGCTCTCTTGATTGCATTACGCAGGTCATTCCAGTAGGAATGCATGGCTTCCGCTTCAACGTAGATCCGAAGATGGCAATTATATTGCAGGGCCCATAGAGATTTGAAGGGAAGCGCTTCTTCATCAGGTGTCTTAGCCGACAAAACAAATTAATCCATCCCTCACCTGTAGAGAAACTGAAAAAATTGCAACAGTATGCAACAGTAACAATTGTTTAAAATTAACTCCTCCTAAATTTTAAGTACAATTCCACAACCAAGGGGCCGCAACCAAAATTGGTCTGTCATCTACCTTTTGTGGCTTCAAAGTGAACTCGGACCCTGGCCACAGCTTGACTTCAGGAACAAAGATCTCTAGCCCATTGCCGAACATAGCCAGCATATTTCGATGGAGACCCTTGACCACTGCCTTAGGTATGTGGCCAATGCTGTTTCAATGATTCAAACATGTGCGAACCAGTGCGGTATAAGGAATAGGATGTGTTGTGATTGGAACTGGTGTATGGCAAATGCTGTTTCAAAAATGTGGAATAAGATGTGTTGCGAATGGAACTAGTATGTGGCAAATGCTGTTTCAAAAATGTGCAAACCAGTGCGATATAAGGAACAGGATGTGTTGTGCATTGAATTGAGCTGCAATCAAACTTTACATGTCATGGTTTTCACCACTTGCCAGTAGAGCGGCCATCATCCCAAAGATCGTTTTTTTGGCATGGGCAGATATCTCAGATGCCTGGACCATCCCACTCGCATCACCAACATTCCTGAGCTAGTGCTCCATACTAAATTCCTGGCTGGAAATAAAAATCACATCCAAGTCTGCTTCCTTGCGAAAAGTGCCTCGCCCCCGAGGCCAAAGGAATTAACATGCCGCTTTCAGCCAAGAAACTGCTGCATCAGTCTGTCAGCCTCACACGCCCATGAGGGTAGTGCCTGGGTTGCGGATGGCTCTTTTACAAGGTGCTTTGGTGGTGTAAGCCAGTTCGGTTTTGAAGAGAAGTCTGTAAACAGAATGTAGCCTCGAATTCCCATCTCAAACCAGTTTCGACATATATCTCTAAGATTCTCCAAGTTACCCTCCCAGGTTTTGTCACTTCCTTTTTTGCCCGCACAGCTGCATGTTTGCGCACGTCCAAGACACACTACCGCACCCCAAAAGGTGCATCTCAATCATTTGGAAGCCGGTCGTTTGAACAGAGTCTTGGCATAAGACTTGCTGGCAGGCCTTTTCAAGTTGCTGGCAGGCTTTCTGATGTTGCCACTAGGCCGCTTGGCAAGCTGCTTGCATTTGGACTGTGGCTTCGGCTTTGCCTTAGCCTTCTGGCTGGGGATTGGTGGATCAACTTCAGTTTGTGTTGATCCACTACTAGGGGGTCTTCTGGTAGTGGCTCCCCCAAAACCATGCTCATCAGAAATCTCCATAGGAAAAGGACGGTCATTCACAGAGCCAGGCCCATGGTAGTTGTGCAGGTTCAGCGGTGCTGTCGAAGTCACTGGAGTATCAGGCACGTAGAAATAGTCAACATCAGAATCAGTCTTGTCCGGAGACGGGAGTGAACACTTGCTGGGAGTGATGTCGGCAGGCTTGACACAGCGACGTCTGGTAGGCGTTGCTGGGTTCTCAAGACTTGCGTACCACACGCCATATCTAATCATCGCGACTGGACAGGGCTGACTGGAGACGTAGGCACGCACCGGAAAATGAGGAAGCTAGCTGCGCACTGACTAGAGCAAAAAAACCTGGTTGGACCCCCTACTTTGCTTTTAACACCTTTACCTCGCTTGCTCATCTGATAACACATGTGCGCCTCCCTAAGTGGAAGATCAAGGAAGGCGCCAACAGTTTGATGCACTGAACTTGCGCGGGATTCCTACCCATGATCGCCGCGGTTGCTTGGCCTTTTTTTGACCCGGCACAATGCCTGATGTCAAGAGCTGTGTAGGGAACCAGTCCTTTGCACTCAGTCACTCCATGCTGAGCTGTGCCTGCGGATGCGCCCAGTACAAAGCACATGAACAACCTGGAAATTAACATGTATAAATAAATAACTCTATGATTTCAAGACTTGTGTTATCTGTTGTTCTTTGGTGAACACAATTATTGCAGCATGCAAACCTCTGATTGATCCTAATTTTCGCTGGAAAAAAGCTACACCGGCTCAGCAGCAGCCAATCGCCACAGCAAACGACGTGTTTGCATAAGTCTGCTGAAACCCTTGCAGGGCGTCACTCACTGCGTCACCATGCGTCACACCATGTATCAGCGGTCCTTCAAGGAAAGGAGGGATACCCTATATACAACTCTATGATTTCAAGACTTGTGTTACCTGTTGTTCTTTGGTGAACACAATCCTGCCGCAGCATGCAAACCTCTGATTGATCCTAATTTTTGCTTGAAAAAAGCTACACCGGCTCAGCAGCAGCCAATCGCCACAGCAAACGACGTGTTTGCATAAGTCTGCTGAAACCCTTGTAGGGCGTCACTGCATCACCATGTGTCACACCATGTGCCAGCGGTCCTTCAAAGGAAAGGGTGATACCACCTGCGTATTATTTTTCCCAGGGGCTACTTTATATGGTGACAGACCCTGTAACTTCTCAGGTATTGACGGATTGAATTTTACATGCCTCTTCATCCACGTTTCTTGTTGCTGGGGTTTGCCACAGTCCCAGAAGGTAATAACCAGATCCATGGAGTGTATTTCTTTGAAAGGCCCTTATGAATCAAGATAGCTTTCAGCACAAATCACCTGATGGATTTTGGGAGCAAGAACTTGAAACCCAGGCGACCCATCCACCCGTAGGAGTCACAGCCGAGGATACCCTAGAATTCGAGATTTCAATGTGACGTTGTGACGTGGACATGCCCGTCAGTTGACTGCGAGTGTACCCCGGCAAAGATTGGCAACACTCCTGAAGGTTTAGTTTAACATTGAACCTCCAATCACGCTGCAGGGGCATTATTCTTCAAGCAGGGCAAGGGAAAGTATTCTTTGGGAAATCTAGAAAGGGTTGAACACCAGAAGGAGGAAACATACACAAGGAGAACGGAACACATGCAAGGGAAGTGCCCAAACATTGCCAGCAGCACAAAACAACATGAAAATCAAGGGAACAAACGACAAGTATATAAGGCCAAGACACGCGCACAATATATATATATATATATACATATGTATGTATGCATGCATGCATGCACGTATGTATAATTTATAAATATATGCACGCGAAAAAATAGAAGCAACAAAACAGTTTTAAAAAAGGAGAGCATAAAAAGTTGTAAGCAATAACAGAAATGTAGGAAACCATGAAACAAATAGCCAAGCAAAAAACATAGAACGAAAGAAATGAAAGGAACATTTCGGAGAAATAGAAGACACATAAGGAAAAACAAGAGACAAATCAGGTACAATACGAAACAACTAAGGAGAAAAAGGGAACATAAGAAACAAATAAGGGAAAATAAGAGGCAAATAAGGGAAAATAAGAGACAAATAAGGTGAACAAATAAGGGAAAATAAGGGACAAATAAGGGCAAATAAGAGACAAATAAGGAAAAATAAGAGGCAAATAAGGGAAAATAAGGGACAAATAAAGGCAAATAAGGGACAAATAAGGGAAAAAAGAGGCAAATAAGGGAAAATAAGGGACAAATAAGGGAAAATAAGAGGCAAATAAGGGAAAATAAGAGGCAAATAAGGGAAAATAAGAGGCAAATAAAGGAAAATAAGGGACAAATAAGGGAAAATAAGGGACACATAAGGGAAAGTATGAACGAAAGAAGGGGCATAAGAAACACATAAGGGAAAATAAGTATCCGTTGAATTGACCAAAAAAAGGTTGTGACAACATACCCAAAACCAACCCCAAAACAATTCAATGGCCCATTAGGTCTGGCCATGAAATTGTTCATAAATAACTGGAAGTAGACAAATAAAAACGGACGACCGATGAATAATGTATAAACATGTGGGGATGCAAGCAGATATGGAAAGGGTCAGACATGCTTTAACACAGCCATGCTGGGAGGACTAAACACAAAAAATGGTGGAGGAAAAAGGAGGTGCCTCCCAAAGACGATAAAGTCACAAGAAAGGTGTGAGAAGAAGCAAGTGAGTTCAGACACATATGTTTTGGGCAAGATACTAGTTTTGAGCATGGCCAACCCAAGGTCCTGACTACGAAGGCAAGGGTGTCTTCACACTGCTTCTCGAGCTGGACTTGTCTCCGTCTGCATCCTCCTTTGCCTTTCTCTTGGCCAATGCTGCCACGCGATTGGCCTCAATCGCATCCTTCCTGCCATCATCCTTGCCAGCATCCTTCTTACTTTCTTCCTTCTTACTTTCTTCCTTCTTGCCTTCTTCCTCTTGGCTAGTTTTCCTCTCAGCTGCTGGGGTTTCTGGAACGGTCTCATTCCCTCCAGGCTTCCCTCCTCCATCTCCTGGCTTGGCAACCTTCAGTTCCTTTTCCTGCATCTCCTTCATGATCTTCGCTCTGATCTCTGCTTCCATTTGGTCTCGCTCTTCCTGCTTCTGTCTCTTGACCTTCTCTTCATGTTCTTGCTCTGCTTTCCTCTTCTGCTGCTCCTCCTGCTCTGCGTCCTTCAATCTTGCTTCTTCAGCTGCCTGCTCCTCCTTCTTCTTGTTGTCCTCCTCTGATTTCAGCTTTGCCTGTTCTGCTCGCTTTTTCTCTTCTAACGCCTGCTTCTCCTCTGGAACCTTCTTGATCTTCTTCAACCTGATTCCGTGTTTCTTCGCATCTTCACGCCCCAAGTCATTGAAAGTGAGTTTCGAAAGCCAAACAGATTTGGCCTTGCCACTGCTGGAAGCTAGGAAAATCTCACCACAGTGCTTGCCCGCGGTGCACTTCACCAACTTCCAATCAGTACACTCAGGGGGTGCCTGACAGAACTTAGCCGTTCCATCCTCCTCGCGCTGAACAATGAAAGGCGCCTGGTCCTTCATCGGCTTGAGTGAATAGCCGTCGACTTCCTGCTGCAATGCAAGGGCAGCAAAAAAAATGAAGCCAAGGTTTGGTTCTTGAGTGACAACGTGGTCAGTGGTAAGGCTAGCAAGGGAAATACGAAAATATGCTTTTATGAATCAAGTCGTTAATGAAAGCCTAATTTTTCGCAAATGCACCAACCAATACCAGTCCTTGCTTTCATCATCGTCATCATCAGCAGCCGCTGATGATGTCGGAGATGTCGGTGGGTTTGCTTCGGGCGAAGGGGGTGGCAAAGATGTCGCATCATTCCCTTTGCCAGTGCCTAGATACGATGGTTCGCAAACCCCAAAATGACAGTTAAAACAGGAAATAAATACCAGCGAATGGAACAACATCTTTGCAGGTTGCAACCCCCCAAAAAAACGAATGTGCCTTTTTCGACACAAAAGCAAACATTTGTGTATGTAAACAGTGGGCCGCCACAATTCTCAAAATCTGGGGGGTTCAAAGCATTCAGGCGACATGAAATGACACTGAGGCACCAAGATTGGGTTGTCGATGGGCTTTGATTTCTTCAAGCCAACCCTTCCCACAGTCCGGGCAGACCTGCCGATCCAGGTTGCAAGCACAAACTGGAATCTGATCTCCACGGCGGCTGCTCTCAGCCTCTTGTCCTGGAAACAGGGCGACTGACATAAATACAAACACCCAGACATCATCCATACTAACATTCAAGGATACTTTCGAGTAAGAACACGTACATACATACATACAAACATGCATACATACATACAGACATACATACAGACATACAGACATACATACCGACATAGATACATACAGACATACATACAGACATAGATACATACAGACACAGACAGACACAGACAGACACAGACAGACACAGACAGACACAGACAGACACAAACAGACACAGACAGACACAGACAGATAGACTT